GGGAAATGAATTTGAATGAATCACCCCACACCCAAAAAATCACCTCTTTTAGTCTTTTCTGATACTTTGGGACACATCTTGGTAACGGACACACAAAATCAATGGACATACAGCCCAGATGCTCACAGACTCAGTTCAGAGCTGCAGCGGCTGATTGCTGGGATGCTGAACGTGTCCTGGGGGAGGAAGGGAAAGGGGCTGGGCGCCCCTCTCGCTGCCCCGGGGGCGCTGCCTCTATCAGGGCCTGGCTTCTGCAAAACCGACACTGGATGCTGTTTGCGCTTTTTGCCTGTTTTTCATAAAAGTGAAAATCCTCTTCGGATTTCTTTTGGTTAGCGAAAACAGGTACCAGTGGAGGTCTTGCTTAAAAGCAAAGGGGCCTAATGCAAACTTTTGAAAAGCGGGGCATGCCTGTGATGGGAATGATCCAGCTGAGTGGGAGAAAATAATACGGCAGAGAAAAGGAAGTAAAGCCTCTAAAAGGCAGGAAGTAAGATCCAGAGGTCAAGTGGAGAGGTCAAGGGAGCAGGAACACTCTGCTCTAACAAGAGAGCACATAGGAGGTCTAAGTATGTATTCAAGCAGGCCAGGAGATGCAGCAGATTTCACATGAGGACATTCGTGTCTGATTGCCTTGATTTTCTCAATACGGCCAGGAAAGGCTCAGCAGCTAGGCTGGAACGGTAGGGAAGGGAAAAGACAACCTATGGGACTTGAAAAGAAGTCTGAGCCTGTTACAGAGCCACCGACTGTTAATCAAATGTCTCCTGTATCCTCCACAGCAACTAGCGCAGAGCTCGTGAACACAGTATTCAATTACACACTAATTAAGGACATCACAGGTACAGCGTGAACTTTTCACCTTTCTGCCACCTTTTTTTTTCAGTCAAGGTATTGAGAATGTGTGCAGCCCAGACATTCAGCCTCCTTTCATCAGGGGTGAGGCCTGCCTATTTGTCCAAGGCAGAGTCTCAGGAATCTGCAAACAGTTAAGTCAAATAGCCACCCCTTCGACCACAAATGTCAGCCCCGCAGACACAGCTGATGAAGAGGGCTCTAAAGATAAGACGTCAAGACAACTACATTAGGCTCTTTATCCCACTGGCATCTTGGCTCAGAGCAAACACCCAGCGTCTGAACCCCCCCAGGCCGCGGTGCGGAGCCCAAGCTCCGGGCCAGCCCCGGCATTCCTCTTACCGACAGGGTCTGCCCTTTGCAGCATCAAATTCCCCCATCTTTCCTTCCCTCCCTCTTAATCTGTTGTTGCTGCCTCCCCTTTTCTTTTTCTCTCTCTCCTTCTCTGTCTCTTCTAGCGCACCCAGAGGTGAACCTATTTTAATGTCCCCAAGTAAGCTTGCTTCTTCCACTTGTTCTCTCTTCTCTGGGTATGGCCAGCCCCCATCTCATCCCAAATCTGTGACGAGATGCCCCTCCCTCCAACATCATTGGGGGGCCTGGGGTGAGTCTTCTTCAGCTTCGCTCTTCAGACTGAACAGGGACCTGCCCAACCTGCGGCCACCGTACGTCAAAGGAGAGGGACCAAAACAAGTCCGTGAGGAGGCTGTGATATGGGTAAGAACTGTCTTATTGCCTTCAGTATTTTGACTATGAGGTAGTTAGTGGGAGGAGATCCTTTCGCCTTTTCCAATACACCCTTTGAGCTGATACTCTGTGATTCTGTGACAATCTGTATGCATGACACTATTCATTTATCATGCAAATATTTATTGACTCAGCCTGGGAGCCAAGGTCTCCAGGACCCTTTCCCAGATGCTAGACCACATATCACATAAGGGAAGGAGAACGTGTGGTCTCTGCAAAGACCAGTTAAGAACTCTTCTATTTTAGGCATTATGCTGCCTTGCCTTCTGTATTTCTATTAAAAAGTAAGGACAAATCTGTCCCCTCAACAGTCTGAATGAAACCAGAATGCCAGTGGGCCCAGAGAAAGCAAACATGTCAGGACAAATTCCCAGTTTTGAAAGTGAGCCCTCCAGCACACAGACACTTGGCAACCAGGCCTGACCACCCCAGCAGGTGCCACATGCCCCCAAATCACACTCTAGCTCAGGTCCCAAATGCTGAGACAATTGCAGAAGGTAGGAAGCAGCGTGGGCACCATCTGAATGTTGCTCAGAATTGTTTGGCCCATCTGTCTCTTGATGTTCTGAAATTTTCTTTGAAGCTAATAATGTGACAAAGTAGAAAGATCAAGGACTTTAGAGTCAGGCTGACCGGGATGTGTAGACAGGCTTGACTGCTGACTGTGTAATCTCAGGCAAGTTACTTGGTTCTGCCGAACCTGGCTTTATCTCTCAAACAAGTATAAGACCACCTATGCTGTAGGATTATTGTTAGGATTAAAGGTAACGTATGCAAAGTACCTAGATGGGGCTCAAAATTACAACTATTGTAATTGGCAGAATGCCCAGGTCTCAATTCAGAAGCCCAGGATGATCTAAACATTATCTCTTGAATGTAAACACTGGATATCTTCTACCCCTAAAGATTTAAAGTAAAAGAAGAAAATGACACGAAGACACCCTCCCGCCCCCCCCACGCAGGGGGCGCACTCCTCCCTAAATCAAAACAAAATGATGGCGATAAAACTCGGAAGTGCCCTTTGCTCATGTGCCTCCTTGAGAAAAACAAAAAAGACTAGTTTCTCATCTCTGACCCTCTGTCCCCAGCACTTGCCTTGTCCAGCTGCTGAAGCTCTTGGCCTCCCTCCTGGTTCTGAGAGGGCCAGACAGCAAAAACAAAACAAACCAAAACAAACAAAGAAACCACAGAAGAGGAAGGGGACGCGGGACCTTGATGCAGAAGGGGAAGGAAAAGGAGACAAAGAGAGTAAAGAGTCATAGACACATTACCTCCAGCGCCCAGAGCCTTTCCAGCGCTCTTTCCAGTGCAGGAAGGCTTGGTAACAGCCTCCGTTAGGCGCTCAGTTCTGCATGCAGAAGAGCAACAGTGACATCTTCAGGGCAGCCAGAAGAACTTGGCTGGGGAAGCAGAGGGGACGCTCTCCTTTTAGAACACACCCCTCAGTGGAGATGTCTGTGGCCCCCAGCTGGCCTTTTCTCTATCTGACACGACAGGTGTGTGCATAGTGCAAGCCCCCTCATACTAACCCCCCAGGCCCCCCACCAAAACTGACGCCTGGACATGCCTCCCTCCTGCTCAGCCAAACTCCTACGGAGCTAGAAACTTGGAAGGGTGTGTTGGTTAGGGACTCTAGGGCAAGCAACCAAAACTGATTTTGATTTTCAAAGAAATGAAATTTATCAGTAAAATACTGGACAGCTCATGCAGTCGCTGGGAAAGCTGGAGAATCAGGCTCAGGGGACAGACGGGAACAAAGGGAAGCAAAAACATTCAGAACCCAATCAAAGCATGCCACTGGGCAATCAATTCTGATGAGAGGCCTCACTGTGGTCACCCATAGTTGCCACCATCAGCATGGCCAGCACAGGCAGCTGGGAGCCCCAGCTGGATTCAATGCCCCTGCTGCGTCTTGACATCACTGGCTCGCCATTTAAAGTCCCAGGCCCACAGGCTTGCACCATAGCTGTGAGGGATCCCTGGAAAAGATCTTGCCACACACACATCATTTCCCCAAATACAGAAAAGACATTCCACAGATGCTGGGCACGCCAACATCAACAAAATGTCCCCTGCAGAATGCAACTGATGTGACAGCAAATTGCAGACCTGGCACCACGGAGTGTTTTGAGTCCATGGAAAGTTGTGTGACAAAGCAGAAAAGGCACAAGCCAGGAATTCAGAGATCTCGGTGAGTCCCATCCCTTATTAGCTATGCAACTCAGGTGGGCAAATAAGCTTCTCCGGGTTTTTGCATGGAATATGCACGGAATAGAAATATCCCTACCTACTTCGCAAGGCTGATGTGTATACCAAATTAGTTAATTCTGTGTACAGGCTTTGAAAATCATACTATTACTGAGTAAACCCTTTTGCCCGTCGGGGTTCCAGGTTACCCATCTGTAAAAGGCAGGGCTAGTGTGAGGTATAAATGAATGGTTTGATTTACAAATTGAAATCGTTGCTGTTTGGGATTTGCCTCAAAATAACAGAGGCAGCGGGTAGGGGAGGAAGAGGGTAGGGATACAGAGATGGCTGGCCATGGTTTAGTGTTAAACCTGGCGGGTGGGCACATTACACCATCCTCTCCATGTTAGTTTGAGTATGAACTCTTCCATCATAAACGGTTTTTTAAAAAGAAGGGTCTTGGAAGTCCGTAGAAGAAACAAGCCCCACTCTCCCCGCCGCGCACCTCCAGGCGCTGTTTCTCAGGCACTGCGCCCCTTCCTCTAGGCCCACCACGCTCCACGCCACGCGGGTGAAAGTGCATCCTTCGTGATAAAAATAACGCTCTTGAAATAACGAAAGCCCCAAAGAACTGATGGACCTCAAAAGAAAAACCAAAGCAAAACGACCGGACGCGCGCCTTAGGGAAGAGCCGGTCCGGAACAACCGCGCAGTTGCTCTCGCCCATGAGCACGAACGGACTCCGACTCCACCCCGGGTACCGCATTCGGTCATGGGCCCAGAAAACAACGATAACAACGACGCCACAGAAGGCTGCACGCCCGGTGCCAGCAGGCGCCGCCGCCAGCGACGTGGTCGAGCTGTGCGGGGCCCTCGGGCGTCCCGAGCAGACGGCGCAGTCGGACCGCGGGCGCAGAGCTCGGAAGCCGCGAGGCGGCACCTGCACCGGGCGGGACTTCAGACGCCCGCGACGCTTCGCGCGCAGACCGCCAGCCCCAGCGATCTACCCCACCCGCCGCGCCCGCGTTTAAACAACAACAACAACAACACAACAACGACAACAAAACCACCGCCCATCCCATCCCGGCCCCGCCCCTCGGCCGCCCGGAGAAGCCCCGAACAAGCATGGCCGACAGCGGGGCGGAAGTGGCTCCGCCCCCACCCAACATGGCCGCCGGGCGGGCCTCCGGGCGGAAGTGACCCGTCGGCACACTGACGGGTCCATCATGGCGGCCGCGGCCGCCTCTCCCGCGCTGAAGCGGCTGGATCTGCGCGACCCCGCGGCGCTTTTCGAGACGCATGGAGCGGAGGAAATCCGCGGGTTGGAGCGCCAGGTTCGGGCCGAGATCGAGCACAAGAAAGAGGAGCTGCGGCAAATGGTGGGCGAGCGGTACCGCGACCTGATCGAGGCGGCCGACACCATCGGCCAGATGCGCCGCTGCGCCGAGGGGCTGGTGGACGCCGTGAAGGCCACCGACCAGTACTGCGCCCGGCTCCGCCTAGCCGGCTCGGCCGTCCCCCGGCCGCCACGGGACCCGCAGGTCAGCCCCGCATTCCCGGTCCCGCCCCCCGGCCCCCCGCGCGCGACCCGCCCCCGGCCCTCCCGCGGCCGCCGGTCCGTCCTCGGCCCCCCGCGCGAGCCTCACCTGCCTCAGGGAAGAGCCTGCCGCCAATTTCTGGACTCCCTTCCTCGGGGGAGAACGCCGGCGGTCCTTTCGCTGGCTGCTGACCGGTCGTTCAGCAGCTCCCTTCAGGGGCCTTCCCTGACTTCCGGGCCCTGATTCCCTCACCTCTCTTGTGGCTTCGCTGGGCTCTCCCAAGTTTAGATGAAAACGCCAGGGGTCTCTCGCAAGACAGTTTAGCTCATTGCCTATATAACGTTTCCTGACATTCTTAGAACACATTTCTCCCTTATTTTAACACCTTCCCCTCCTATCGTTCATTCCTCATCCCGGTGTTTTCCCCACGCCGGTCCCAAGAATAACCTCCACAAACCCAAAGAGCTCTTCTACCTTTGGTGGAGTTGAATGACCGTACCAGCCATCACGCCCCCTTCTTTCAATAGCGGAACATTTTCATTTTAGGGAACTAAGGTTATTCTAACCAAGTTATCCTGTTTTTTTTTCCTCCAAACCCTAATGATTAGACCTGGTATGGAAGGATTCAGCCCTAAATACATGCTACTACTGGAGCAGCATTTTGCATTGCTAAAGAATGTTGACTTAGGGATGACTACGTGAACGGGTAGGGAGGATGAGAAAGGTAAACCGGGAATTTGTTCGTGACCCCAGGGAAGAACCTTATAGGACATGGAAGAACTTGCAAAAGTACAATTTAGCTCCCGTTTGTAACTTTTTAATACAACCTGTGTTTTAGAGGAATCCGGGTTTGTAGGCAGGGCTCACACAACACAACCACAGAAGATTGGAAATACTTTTTGAAATGAGAGACCTCATCCCTCTCCTCTGTAAGCTGTGCATTTATACCTGCCTCCTCCTAGTTGGCCAGCCTTTCCTATAACTGAGTCTTGCTTCATGGTTTATTAAAAAGCTAGCTTGTACTGTGCCTGACTTTAAATATGTATGTGTTTTTTATACTTGTTATATCTGATTTATTCTCAGACCCACAAAAATTTGAGTGCCCTCTGTGTGTTCACGCACAAAGAAACAAGCCCCCTAATTGCTGCTCTGAAGGAGCTTACAATCTAGTCAAGGAATTAAATCCGTGGAAAGTTGATGAGAAAAATGTAAATAATTCAGAATAACAGTAGAAAGCATTTTACGATAATGTGTGATTGATTCCAAAATACTTACGTACATTTACCATAAGACTTCTGAAGGAAGTCACTTCAGGCTTGAGTCCTTCTCGGTAAGGAGGGGCCTTCATGACAGATGAGATTTGGAACATGGGTCTGGAGTATGAAAAGACAATTAAAAACAGGTAATCAGTTTAATTAAAGCAGGAGTTCTCAACCTTGGTGCTTTTGACATTTGGGGCTGGATCATTCTTTGTTGTAGAGACTGTCCTGTGCATTACAGAATGTTTATAAGCATCGCTGGCCTCAACCCACTAGACACCTGTAGTACCCTTCTTCCCCCTCCTGATGTCTCCAGATCAGAACCATGGGAAGGATATGAATCTCCTGGGAACTTGGGAGCAGATTGGTGGTATGCTAAGATACATATGGAGGTCAGATGACTAAAATTTTTGGTAGGGAGATGAATTTAGTTTTGAACATGCTCATCATGGAATGGCAGAGAAACTTAGCAGGGCAACGGCAGAAAAGGCTCCAGTGGGACTTGGGAGTGGTGAGGACTAAAAAAGAGGTGGGAGTGGTGTTCTGCTAAGAGGTGACGCTGGAGGGTAGGAGTCTGGGAGTAGGAGGGTGGACTGAGATGGGGAGAGGCGTGAGGACTGCACCAGATGAAGATCTGATGGACGAGTTACCAAGAAGTCCATCAGGCACTCAAAGAAGCAGGTGCAAATGTAGGGAGGCTGAACATCCGGAGGGCTCCATGCTGTGGAGACATCTCGAGGGTCACAGATAACCAGACTGAGATGACCAGATTAAGTTTGCATCTCCATATGACTGGGAGGATAATCCAGTGGGGCTGTCCAGCGCTGTTGACTCCAGTCATTCCACTACACCTAACTTGGAAACCTTGCCAAGTGGCATCATATCAGGCATAATAAAAGCTTTGTACCCTGCAGTACCCCCACATTTCTCCCCAAGCCTGCCAAACACTGACCTTGCACTGGTCCGCGTTCGTTCCGTGCCTTTCCCTGCAGCCCCAGCAGCCGTCCCAGGAGAAGTTCTACAGCATGGCTGCCCAGATCAAGCTACTCTTAGAAATTCCCGAGAAGATCTGGAGCTCAATGGAGGCCTCCCAGTATCTGCACGCCACACAGCTCTACTTGCTTTGCTGCCACCTTCACAACCTGCTCCAGCTGGATTCTTCTAGTTCCCGGTACAGCCCCGTCCTCTCACGGTTCCCCATACTCATCCGGCAGGTCGCAGCAGCCAGCCACTTCCGGTACGTAGATCCAGCATAAAGATCTGCACTGGGGATGGCTGCGCTTCACCCCGACCAGTTTACGGAATGTGCCTTTTATCCTGATGTACCAGGGTTCTTCTTCCCAAGATGTAAAAAATTCCGTTGCTCTTCGTCATCATCTTTTTAGGTCAACTATTCTGCATGAAAGTAAGATGCTGCTCAAGTGCCAGGCCGTGTCTGACCAAGCTGTAGCGGAGGCCCTGTGCTCCATAATGCTCTTAGAAGAGAGTTCTCCTCGCCAAGCCCTAACAGACTTCCTGTTGGCCAGAAAGGCAGCTATTCAGAAACTTCTCGACCAGCCACACCATGGTAGGTTTGGCTTCTTTCCAAAATATGGTCCTTAAGGGAATGGAGAAGGGGGAGCCGAGGGAGAATGAAGCACCTAGAATGTTCTCTGTTTCTAACTTTACTAAAGGAAACTGTTGGGCGCCTGGGTGGCTCAGTTGGTTGGGCGACTGCCTTCGGCTCAGGCCATGATCCTGGAGTCCCGGGATCGAGTCCCGCATCGGGCTCCCTGCTCGGCGGGGAGTCTGCTTCTCCCTCTGACCCTCCCCCCTCTCATGTGCTCTCTCTCTCATTCTCTCTCTCTCAAATAAATAAATAAAATCTTAAAAAAAAAAAATTAAAAAAAAAAGGAAACTGTTTACAGGAGGATGGTTTCTTCTCATAGGTGCCGGCGTCAAGGCCCAGGTTTGCTCATTAGTGGAGCTGCTAGCCACCACTTTGAACCAAGCTCATGCTCTTTTCTACACTTTACCAGAAGGTCAGCTGCCAGATCCATCCCTGCCGTGTGGCTTGCTCTTCTCAACTCTGGAGACCATCACAGGCCAGCATCCTACCGGTGAGCTCTTAGCCAACCTTTCTTACTTTCAGGTTATTCAGCTGTTATTTACTGAGCACCTGCCACCTGCCTGCTACTGTCCTGGGGTCTCTGGGGATATAGCAGTGCCCTGGACAAATATGGACCCCACCTTCGTGGAGGTCACAGTCTAAAGGTAGAGGCAAATACTGAAGTCACAAATACAAACATATCTATTGAGAAACAATAGTGGCAACTACTATAAAGGCAAAGTACAGGTTGACTTGGGAACATTGAAAGGAGGGACCTCACCAGTGAGGCTTTCCCTGGAGAATGATATTTAAACTGAAAAGTGAAAGTTTGGTAAGAGTTAGGTGAGGAAGGCAAGGAAAAGAGTTCCAGGCAAAGGGGATGGGATGTGCAAAGATGTTAGTATATTTAAGAAATTAAAAGCAAGCAGGTGAGGCTAAGGGGTATTGGGTGGAGGAAGAGCAGCATGAGAAGAGACATGGCCAGTCTATTAGATGTGACCAGATAATGCAGAGCTGTGCGGACCAGGCTAGGGAGTTTGGACTTTATCCAGAGAACAATGGATAGCCTTCTAGGACCTTCCAGGCTTATTCGTCCTTCTGTTATATGTTCCCATACATCCTGTGCTTTTATTGGATAGCATTTATCCTAATTGGAGTTAAATACAATTGGCTTTTATGTGGCAGTGGATCTTCATGGGGTCTGGAGTAGATGCTGAGAGCTCACTTGAGAGGCTGTCATCATGACCTAGGTGGCAGACGATGGGGGCTAACTGGACAACCTGGACATCTGTTTAGCATGGGATTTGGTATTGGTGGGGAGGGTATAGAAAGGAGGTGTCCAGGTTTACAAGAAAAGGAGCTGGTTTGAAAGGGCTGATGATGAGTTCGCTCTTGAAAATATTGCTTTGGAGACGATTGAGCCCCTTGGAATGGGAATGTGGTGGAGTGGGCAGGTGACTGGGGGTCCAGAACAGAGCAGTGAGAGGTCTGGCTTGGAGACACACATCCGTGCATATGGCTGTTGTTTGAAGCCGTGGGGATGAGGGACATCATCAGGAAGAAGAGAGGATGGCAGAGGACTGTGCCTCAGGGGACTCCAGAACTCAGGGGTCAAGCGGAGGAGACATAGTCCCAAAGGTAGAAGAGAAACAGGTAGAACATGGGGACAGCCACCTGGTCATTTTCAGAGAGAGAGATGTATTATGTAGCCTCTTCTTGGGCTTATTTATCTTTCAACGAGGGTGCCACTTCCTTATGCCCTGGCTTCCCTCTAGGTGCTTCCACCTAATGATTTATCCCCCCTCGTGAAAGGTGAGTACGGCCTAATGTGTCATGGCTCTGGACAACAAGTGCAAGCGACCTTAGAAGGACCCCTGTGTTTCGAGCTCCGGAGGGTGCTCACACACAGAACACGGTGAACGGGCCTCCCCCAGAGTCGCCCCACAGATGCCTGTGTCCTTCTTGGGAGGTCATCTTTGAAGAGCTACAATTCACCAGTCAGGATGAGTGGTCTTTCAGTCTTTCTTTAGCTCTTCCAGGTTGGTCGGAGGATGGTGAGGAAAAGGAAACTGTCACCTTTTACTTTGTGACAACGTCGAGGGCTGCAACAGCGCTCAGTACTGCTTTCTCTCCCTGCCCCGCCCCCACTCCCTTCCTCCCTGTCCTTCCCCTTCTCTACCAATGTGGTGCCCAGAGTTGGCACGAAGCTGCCAGCTCCCTGATGGGCGTACAGTCTATACTTTCCTTGTCCCCCTGTCTCTGGGGTCCTGTCTGACCTGCCCAGGAGAAGACCAAATGATTTTTGGAGGTTGCTTCTAGGTCCATTTTTTAATATGCCTTTCAAAGGATGGCCCTGATTACTTGTCACTTGGCCTTCTCTTAGGAAAGGGTGCCGGCGTTCTGCAAGAGGAGATGAAGCTCTGCAGCTGGTTCAAACACCTGCCGGCATCCATCATCCAGTTCCAGCCAGCTCTCCGAACCCTGGCGCAGCCCATCAGCCAGGAGTACCTGAAAGACACGCTGCAGAAATGGATCCACATGTAAGTAGCCAGAACTTTCCTGAGGCGGGGAGGGACCGCCTGTGTAGCCACACGAGGGCCAGTGAGGGCCACTGAGGAAGGAGGGAGAAGCCTGATCTTCTGGATGATGCTCTGCCTGCTGCCCACTGGGTCATGCCAGGCACTTGCTCAGCCACTGGTCACTGCTTTCGTGGCAGGTTAGCCCCCACTGTGGGAGAACCAAGAGGGAATTCGCCTTTCAAAATATTACCTTACAGGATTTAAAATTCTATGTAAGAGTTCTGCCACTCCTAAGCTTTTATGTAATGCAGTGGTTTTGAAGCCATTCTAGGGGGCTCTAGCCTTCCTTCCAGATAGATACCTCAGGGAGGCAAGGGTAGGCCCCATCCCCCCATGTAGCCGGAAATGCTGTTTATACATATTTATAAAAACTCCGAGAGATATAAATATTTATATTGGGACCCAGGTAAGAGGTTTTCAAATGGAGTGCTGCTGTTTTTCTTTCTTTTCTTTTTAAGATTTTATTTATTTATTCATAAGAGACAGGGAGAGAGAGAGGCAGAGGGAGAAGCAGGCTCCCCGCTGAGCAGGGAGCCTGATGCAGGACTGGATCACAGGACCCTGGGATCATGACCTGAGCCAAAGGCAGACGCTTAACCATCTGAGCCACCCAGGCGCCCTGTTTTTCTTAATAAAGGTGTGAAAACCATGAATCTAATAAGGCCCAAGAGAAATGATTTTGTTGCAGGTGTAATGAAGACATTAAAAATGGGATCACCAACCTGCTTATGTACGTGAAGAGCATGAAAGGTCTCGCAGGGATCCGCGATGCCATGTGGGAATTACTTACCAATGAATCCACCAATCACAGCTGGGATGTGATATGTCAGCGGCTTCTGGAGAAGCCGCTCTTGTTCTGGGAGGATCTGATGCAGCAGCTGTTCTTTGACCGATTACAGGTGAGGAGATTACATGGTCCAGTTGTTTTCTGGCCAGTCCTAGCATGATCTTTTGACTGTCTGGGGGGACTTCTGTCACTCCTGAGTGTACTCTTTCTCTCCTGACTGACTCAGGGATGGCTCTTCTGGAGAATGAGCCCTAGACATAAGCAGAGATCCAGACTCTGGTGCAGAAAGAGACCAGGCCTCTGTTACGTGGTCGGGAACATGTCCGTGGCCATCCGTGACGACTCTGTTCTCTGCCAACACCATGTCATCCTCCTGAGCATGCTGGAGAACACGCAGAGTGCCAGGATGGACTGCCACTTGGGGTTGTTGATTTCAGATTTCCTGACAGGAGTCTTGACTGGAACTCTCCCCTGCTTCCTTTCAGACTCTGACAAAAGAAGGCTTTGACTCCATCTCCACCAGCTCCAAGGAACTGCTCATTTCAGCCCTGCAGGAGCTTGAGGGCAACACCAGCAACTCCACTTCAAATAAGCACCTCCACTTTGAGCACAACATGTCTCTCTTCCTCTGGTCCGAGAGCCCCCAAGACCTGCCTCCCGACGCCGCCTGGGTCAGCGTGGCGCACCGGGGGCACTTTGCTGGCAGTGGGCTCTCCATGAAAGCACAGGCCGTTAGCCCTTGTGTCCAGAACTTCTGCTCTGCCCTAGATTCTAAACTGAAGGTGAAGCTGGATGACCTCCTGGCTTACCTTCCCTCTGCTGACGCATCCCTGCCCAAGGACGTCTCCCCCATGCCAGCCCAGAGCCGTGCCTTTGACAGGTATGCAGATGCCGGGACTGTGCGGGAGACGCTACAGACTCACTCGGTGGCGTGCATCAAGCACATCACAGACCACATCCGGGCAGAGCTGCAGCACATCGAACAGGTTGTGCAGGGGCAGCAGGATGTCCTCAGTGGTGTCAAGTTGCATTCAGTCCTTTTCATGGCCAGACTCTGCCAATCTCTGGCAGAACTGTGTCCCCACCTGAAGCAGTGCATCTTGGGAAAGTCAGGAAGCTCCGAGAGACCAGCAAGGGATCCCAGGGCTCTGAAAAAACAGGGAAAGGGGAAAACGCGGGAGATAATTCCTATGCAGGGGAAATGGCAGGAAGTTAAGGAACTCCTCCTCCAGCAGAGCGTGATGGGCTACCGCGTCTGGAGCTCAGCAGTTGTGAAGGTGAGTGACATGCACACAGTCTGCCCGTGCTCACCACGCAACCCCATCCTGGCTCCCTTCCATCATGTTCCAGGCTGGCCAACCTCAGGGAGATCTTGTCTTTTTTTTTTTTTTTTTTTTCTTTTCCCAAGAAAAATTTAATAAAACTTATTTTATTTTATATCTCTCTTATGTACTTGTAAGTATCAAACTAGCAAGAATGTCAGTTTTAACAAGGCATATCTTGACTTTCTGGTCTACGTCTATTAATTTTTTTGCATTTGTTTTCTTTAGTTCAATTAATTAACATATAATGTATCATTGGTTTTGGAGGTACAGGTCTGTGATTCATCAGTCATAGACTACCCAGTGCTCATTACATCACATGCTCAGGGAGGTCTTTTCAGAGCAAGGGAATAAACAGTTCTTGTTTCATGCAGTTACTTTCACTTCTCTGTGATAGCACAAATGTAAAAATTTTTCCATTCAAATGTTTAGCCTAGATTTTATAGACACAAACTCTGGGTTTTTGTCTTTCCATCTGATAAGAATGAAAGACCTCCTTGGACAAGGGTCTGGATTTCCTACTCTTCCACCTGAATGTCTTATTCCCTGTGGTCTCCCCTGGTGTCTTAAGAGGTGGCCCTGGACGTTTGTAAGGTAGTTACAACAAAATTCCCATGGCTGACATGGGTAATTAGCCCGAGAAAAGTGACATTTCCACTCGCCACCCCGCACGTGACCAACACAGCAGAAGCTGGGCTCAAGATTACTCAAGTGGTTTGAAACACTCTCTAAAGGAGCTAAGTGGCCTGTTGGGTATTTGCTTTTTATTACCAGGTTTTGGCTCATGGATTCACCCAGTCGTTACTTTTAGACGACGCCGGCTCAGTGCTGGCCACAGCCACCAGCTGGGATGAGCTAGAAATCCAAGAGGAAGCAGAGTCTGGCAGCAGCGTCACGTCCACAATCCGACTCCCTATACAGGTGAGCAGGTGCCCCCAGGAGAGTGCCTGTGGGCTGGACTGGGCCAAACAGCCCACTCTGCAGAGAGGAGAATCAGCCGACATACAGCTTCCGAAGAAGAGCCAAACTGGTATTGATAACTTTCTACCACGGGGGTAGAGTAGACATAGGGCCGAGTAGGTAGCAGAATGTTCGAGAAGTCATCTAATGATTGTTTCCTGTGCAGCCTGGGCTCTGCTCATTGGAGAGCTGCTCACCCCAAAGTGAAAACAGCATAACGCATAGTGCCACCTGCCAGGTCAGCCCCCAGCCACCAAACCGGTGACAGTGATGGTCACTTTTATCTATTAACTGCCCTGCTGGAAGGGGCTGCCTGGGGAGGTCCAGGTCCTGGCTCATGAGCCTAGTGAGGATATGTGGACCCACTTCTACCACGTCTCCCTCCTTTGGCACAAGTCGCTGACTCAACAATCCTTTGTTCTCCCAGCCATCCTGGTATGTCCAGTCCTTCCTGTTTAGCCTCTGCCAGGAAATTAATCGGGTTGGAGGCCACGCTTTGCCAAAAGTGACACTGCAGGAGATGCTGAAAAGCTGTATGGTCCAAGTGGTGGCTGCCTATGAGAAACTAGCAGAAGAAAAACAGGTGAAGGTAGGTGTTTGAATTCTTTCCCACTAAAAACGGAAATACAAACCTGAGGTTTTTTTTCTCGGGTTTGGGCAGTACCCATCAAGGATTCCAAGTGTCTACCCTCAGTGCCGGCTAATTGGTAGTGGCTTCGCGCTCTGCGAGTTCATCATGCCTCCTCTCGAGGATCAAGCAGGTCTGCACTAAAGGGCAGTTCGGCAGGAAGGGAAAAAGGCCGGGTGTCCAACCCCAGCACTGCCACGTGCGTGCTATGGCTTTGGGCAAATCACGAAGCTCTCTGTTTCTCCAGGGTCAGGTGTGGTCCCTTGGAGAACTGCTCGGGAGTGGGGGGTGACCATGCCCAGGGCGGCATGTGGCACACACAGGCTGAGGGAGCTCCTGTCTCCCAGCCTCCCACCTCCCTCGCCCCTTCCCCGAATTGTTCTGCCCTTGGTGGGTGTTCCCGTTTCATCAGTGACATATTTAAGACAGGACCACCTCCTGATTTGGGAAAGAATTCAGGGAAGTCTCCTGAGCTTCCTCAAAATGACTCTCCTCCACGCGAGGAGCTTTTTTTCTTCTAAAAGGCAGTCTGCAGCACCCGAGGCCTTTGTTTGAAGGTTTTTAGTTTGGTTTAAGACCAAGTTTTGAATATAACCCGGTGTTGTGACATCAAACAGTCCTTGTTGAGTATACAGGGTGCTGCTTCTGAAGCAACAAGCTGTACCTCAACCAAACGGGTAAGCCGTTTAACAAATCCTCTCCCTTCACGGGTGGGGATGGGACATTCGTTTACAGAAAGAAGGTGCCTTCCCGATGACCCAGAATCGGGCCCTGCAGCTGCTTTATGATCTGCGTTATCTCAACATTGTTCTGACAGCCCGGGGTGAGGAGGTGAAAAGTGGCCGCAGCAAACAGGACTCTAGGTATGCTCACCCCAGCGGGCTCTCCCAGTGCCGCCTCTGCTGAGGGCACACAGCCCCTTTCCAGAAAGCCACTAAGAGATAGCCTCTCGTTGTGCATTAGCTGTTAGCTTTAACCAGGAAGTCCTCACATTACCAGCTAGATCAGTAATGGCCACCTGCTGGATAAATGCCATGGTCAAGCGTGGTAGGTGGACTCTCATTCCGCTCTCTTCTGAGTCCACCTATCTTGGGTATAATTTGAGCCTCTGGCGCTGGCCCTGACAACATGAGGAAGGAAAGGACTTCATTCAGAAATCTTAGCTGGTTAAAACTCTTGAGGATTACTTAAGCACCATGGGCAGGGACAGGTGGTACCAAGCCAGCAAGTAAGAATAAATCCAAATACGGGGTTTCTTTAGCACTGAAATGCCGTAAGGTTGGTTTTTGACCTAAAAAAATGTGGAGAATAACCCATAATTCTTTTTCAGAATTGAGAAAGTGGCTGACTATCTGGAAGCACTCATTGACCCATTTGACCTGGATGTTTTCACACCACACCTCAACAGCAACCTTAATCGCCTGGTGCAACGAACTTCTGTAAGTCATGTGAGAAATGTGCTCAGGGTGAACGCAGGGCCACAGGCTCAAATGACAAGGTAAACCCACTCCAGCACTTAATACTCTAGGAGGCAGTTGGGAGGGAGCTGGGATGCAAATAGCTCAGTTTAGTTGTGAGGGCCGGAAGAGGATTAGATAAAATCTCACTCTGGAGGCAACCCTGATCACACCCCTCTAGTTGTAGATAAGGGTGATTAAGGGATTAAGGTTTTATCAGGGCCTCCGAAAGAGGAATAAAACAAAAGAGTGCTGTGACTCTGGGATTCTGACCTGTGGGCAGTGAGAAAGGTAATTCTGAAGCATAAACATGCTGCAAGGAACATTCCCCCAAAGGATGGTGAGAAACAAGAAAAGGGATTTTCTCTTTTACCCGGACAGGGGCAAACCTAGCCGGTCACTGTGCCCTCTGTCCTGTCTGCCAGGTTCTATTTGGATTGGTCACTGGAACAGAGAATCATTTCGCCCCCAGGAGCTGCACATTCAACTCCCAAGAACCCCATAACATACTGCCCCTAGCGTCGAGTCAGATCAGGTAAGGATTCTAAGATGCTTTTGCTGGGCCCCGGAGCTTCCCGTTCATGCCACTAACACTCTTCATCTGGTCTTGGAGGTTTGGACTTCTTCCCCTGAGCATGACAACTACCCGAAAGGCCAAATCAACCAGCGGAAGTGGCGAAACCAAGGCCCAGGTCAGTGCAGAGAGCAGGGGGCGCACCGGATGGGTCCGGTCCCCATCTCCCAGCAAACCACCCGATTAGCTCCCCTTTAAATAATCGATAAAGAACGAAATGACAAAATGCACTAATGCTGCTTTTAATGGCGGCGCAATATAGAAGTACAAGGTTTCACTAGCTTGAGCTGAGAGGAGTTTTAAAAGATGCCCATTTACACTATCAAGTAGCCTCATAATAGAAACGTTATCTCAGGCTGCCAAGGCTGTAGAAAACAAGCAGGGCAGGACGGAGACTGTTTCTTGTTGTTCGTAGGGTGCAAGAGGTAACCACTTAACCCAGCACGACGATTGTACTGGTTTGGACAAAAAAACTTTTGTTCTGGTGGTGGTTTCATCTTCCATTTCTTGCAGGTGGGTGGGAAATAAAAAGGGAATTTGCTTCCTCAAGTTTGACGTTTTCTTGTTAATACACGTTTTATTTCAGTCGACTGCCATCCATTAAGCCCGCAGGAGTCCTCCTGGGTATTTCTGAGTTGTGTTGTGTACGCGTGTGCTTGAGCCCCAACAGCTTGTCTCCTTACAGCACTTAGTTGTTTGCTTTCTTGGTGGACAAAATATTAGCAATGCGTCCTTTCCACCTTCCCTGCCATCAAACCCAGTAAGACCAAAATTCTTAAACCTCTGGTTGTACACCGTGGGAGGCGGTAGTGAAAAGCACAGGCTCCTGCACAGGCCGTTCCCTCCGCAGGCTGGGACTCTGAATCTCTACTTCAAGTAACTGACCTGTAAGTTCTGTCCATAGGAGAGGCTCAGACGGCGGAAAGGAGGTACCCATGTTTACCCTTTTCCTAGGATAGTCCTCATCCTCAAATGTTAGTTCTGTCCCATAAGAAGATCTCATCTTGTCCCCTATGTCTTTTGCCAGTGTTGACAAAGGGCAGAGTCCCCTGACTAGGGCTCTCTGTGCTTCTGAGATCTGCTTGTGTGTGCCGTGCGGACTCCGCGTGCCGTGGCGGGTGTGAGCAGGCAGGAGGGTCTGGGTAGACTCTAAGGCACTTTCCTCTACATGCATGGCAGGTTGTCCCCCCGGCACTCTCCCGAGCAGGTGACCCAACGCAGCCTGGCTCCTTGTTCCGACAGCTGGTCAGTGAGGAAGAAGACGCGTCCACGCCTTCATTATTCAAGCTAGGTTGGCTCTCTAGTATGACTAAATAACACGGGAACATATCCGTCTCTCTCTAAATAAATACTACATCATTTCTGCTAACGGTGCCTCTGCTTGTTTGTTTCTAAGCCACCAGTCTTTCCAGTTTCAGCGGTGGAATGTGGCCCCCCAGTTACTGTTAGGGGTTCCTTTAAGCATACAGTGAATCCTTGTCCAGCGGTTTCACAATACTTGGGACTTTAGACAGCAGTTCAGATAGCTTATACTCGGTCAGCATTCCTCAGCGCCTTAATTCTTGAACCCCAAGGCGGATTCCCGGCGAGATCACAGAAGCTGCTGATAGAACAAGTCTATGAGTGAGACAAAGGTCATTACGTACTTCTCGACTGTCAGAACTGTGCCGTGTTTCCTACTAAGTCTGAGATGGAGGCTTTGGAGGAGTAACGGTAGCAGAAGTGAGCTGGGTATACAAGTGTGAAAGACATTCTCTCTGGAAATACAAATATATAACAAAGAGAGAAGACAATTAGCAAGGCTGCTTCACTGACACAGTCTAACTTGGATCTGATTGTTCTCCTGTCACAGAGGAGAGAGTACTTTCAACAGGACATCTACATACTAAGAGGTAGTATGGCAATTAATTTCAGTGCAAGACTGAATCAAGCTTTCTATATTTTGGAAAACAACTTAGGTTTTTTCATGGAAACTAGATATTCTTTACTAGTTTATTGAATTTAAAAAATTGAAGATCCCACATTTTTAAAAGGCCTTTTTACATAAAGTAGAATTTCTAATGGACAGATTTGGAAATCAATCTGAACTGGACAAACTATGGATTCAACACGCAGATGAGATTTCCTCATACCATTACCTCGACATGGATTTGATACCCACCCTCAAAAGAATCCTATAAAAAATTGCTTCAAAGCCCCTTTGAAATTGCAATAGTGCAGCAAAACCACAAGTAAACAACTGCCTGTCAACCCGTTATTTCAAATATAGACTGAAAAGCCAACAGGCATATTTTTGTGCAATTTTTTAAAACATCGTAAGTTGAAATATCAAATCTGCACAGCGCTGTCCCTTCACAGAAGGCAAGAAACTGGCGGCACATCATGTCGGAGGCCGTCCTCGGTGCTGTAGGCTATGGAAGTGGGCCTCCTTCAGGGTCTGGTTGATGTGGAAGTACGGGCCCTGGCACAGTGCAGACTGCTCGGGAACAGGCTGAGGGGTGTTAGGGCCGGAACCGGCCGCCGCGTGGTTCAAGCTGCTCTCCGGCCCGCTTGCCCGGTCCGGGCTGTTGATGCTGCTGCCGCCGCTGCTCCCACCACTGTCGCTGCTTGAAGACTGGAAGGGAAAAGAAACAGGGTCGCGATTAGGCAGTTTGCTTTCTTAAGAACTTCACTGTGGTTTCATTTACAAGACCCCACGTAAGAGCGTTCTTCCCATTTGGCTTGAGGAGGACCGGCATCAGAACGTCCAGTGAGTGGGCTTTGCAATTTTACAAAGTACGTTCACCTGAGACATTTCATTCTATGCTCATGACTGCCACGGGAGGTTGAGCGGGATTCTGATCCCCAGCACCTCCCCAAGGAGCGGCAGGGTCCAGGTTCAGGCCGTCTGACCGCAAAGCCCTTCAACTACATCCTAATTCCTTTACACATCTTCTCTACCTGCTTTCATTGTTCATTCCAGTAACTTCCAAATAATCACAGGAGGAAGTTCTCAGCCTCCAAGGGAAAGTATCAATCACGGGTACAGGGTGTAAGTGTCATTAACACACAAAATGGCTTCTGGCCACAAGTTTTAAAAAATCTGTGGCAATTTCTCACCTCATGGACACAAAATCGTATTCTCTGAATGCAGAACATGTATCTTGCGAGAGTACAACATACTTCGTATCAAGTTACGTTAGCAATTTTGCAGTCTGATCTATGTGTGTGCATGTGTGCACAAGTGTGCCTAATTTTTTTTTAATGTAACAAATATGATTTGGTGTCTTAGTTGTCTTGAAGAAGCTACTCAGAGATCCCTAAGAACTAGGGTTCTCAAAAGGGAAGGCAATAGTAAGAATCCATTTCAGAATTACGGTATTTTACAATTTTTAAGTATTGCATTTCAAATAAATGACGAGCAGTACCCTTCCTCCATTCACAGCTCAAGCCAATACCGTACTGGAAAGAATCAATGCATGAGAAAGTTAGAATTCTAGTAATTAACGATCTGGTGTATACTTTTCTTAACTTGATCTAATTCATGCTCCCTTACACAACGACATTTGTTTCAAAGTCCGCATACAACTATGTAAAATCTACACGTAAAAAAAAAGACTGGAAAAAAATCTGGCCGTAGTAGTTATGTTAAAATGGAGGGATTAAGTTGCTTTTTTTTTCTACCTTTTACTATAATATTCTTACAATGTGGTTATTATGTATTTTACTATAAAATTAAACATATAAATAATGTTTCCTAAGGTAGATACTTTAAAAGTGATTTTTTAAAATACTAGTTTATTCATTTTTGAGTAAAAGTTGCCCCTAACAGTGTGTACAGAAACATCTGAAACAGCAAAGAAGGCAATGTCCATAAAAGTTAATCCATTTTTTTTAAAGATTTTATTAATTTATTTGACAGAGAGAGACACAGCGAAAGAGGGAACATGAGCAGGGGGAGTGGGAGAGGGAGAAGCAGTCTCCCCGCGGAGCAGGGAGCCCAACGCGGGGCTCGATCCCAGGACCCTGGTATCACGACCTGAGCCAAAGGCAGACACTTAACGACTGAGCCACCCAGGCGCCCCGATAATCCATTCTTAGTAAGACTTGAAGGATCATCATGGTCCATAGGTCATCTGGAGCTACTTAACAGGTTACATAGCCCAATGCCCACAAATAGTAAAAGACAACCTGTCTTTCTACAAAAAAAAAAACATGAAAAGCATTATAATGGGCTGGAGTCAGACGGCAGGGTTAGCCGCAGCAGCAATTAAATAAGACCAGGGTGCCTGGGTGGCTCAGTCAGTGAAGCATATGCCTTCAGCTCAGGTCATGATCCCAGGGTCCTGGGACTGAGCCCTGCGTGGGGCTCCCTGCTCAGCGGGGAGCCTGCTTCTCCCTCTCCCGTGGCCTCTCCCTCCCCCTCCCCCTGCTGGTGCTCTCTCAAATAAATAAAAATTTTTTTTAAAAAAGTACTTAAAGGGCGCCTGGGTGGCTCAGATGGTTAAGCATCTGCCTTCGGCTCAGGTCATGATCCTGGGGTCCTGGGATCGAGTCCCGCATCGGGCTCCCTGCTCGGCGGGGAGCCTGCTTCTCCCTCTGCTTCTCTCTCTCTCTGTCTCTCATGAATAAATAAATAAAATCTTAAAAAAAATTTAAAAAGTACTTAAAGACTTAAGAAATCAAATAAATTCAAAACCAAAAATTGTTTTCCATAAAAGCTTCTCCTAACCTAGAGGGGAACAGCCCAGATGTGCGGTGCTCCCGCACCTAATAAGGTCATGAGTAGTTAACGAGTCAGCTACTACACTAGATAAGAAACCCACCGCGCAGAACACTTTGTTTCCTCTTAGTCTGTTTTCTTTACTGTTTTTCGTTACAGGCACTGTCTGAAAATTAAGGCAAGAACTAGAATCAGTTTCTAGTAAGTCAAGTTTCCATCTCAAATTTTATTTATTTCACACTATAATAACAAAGATGACATTATTCTGACAAAAGGTAAAAGTTCCTTTAAAAAAAAAAGGTTAGAAAAGATTTCTGTACAAACCGTGAAAAGACGTGATTTCTAGTCCTAATTTTAAAAACTTCATGTAAAAACATGGTTTATACCAACTTTATAAAGACAGGTACGCAAATGTTTAGTGTGGCCTTGTTTAGAATAGTGAAAAAGTGAGACCCACCTACATGTCTAGCAATAGGGAAACTGGTTATAACATATGCATATAAGGTATACTCCGTGAATTATAACTGACACTGAAATTCTACTCAGCTATTAACAATAATGATAGAGATGTATATATATACCACGAAAGAAGTCGTCAACTTTTTTTACAGGTTGCAAAACCATATGTACAGTATGCCAACTGTTTTTTTAAATGTTTTCAATTAGCAATAATCACACCACGGATAAACCTCATTGGCTACGATACTGTCACCGCGCAAAGCTAAATGTTTTTTTTTAGTATAGACATATGTGCACACCAGCAACAGTCTGGAAAGATATATGTATATATATGCCAGAATATTCAGAATTTGGACCATTTTTTTATAATATTTTTGTATATACAGCTTCTACAAAAGATTTCTGTGGAAAGAAAATCGATCACAAGTAAAGAGAACTAAAAGAATGTGGCTACAAAACAGACCTTCAGGTATTTTCTAACTTCAAGACGGAGACTTAAAAACTATACTGATACTGTCAGTAAGATTTGCAGAAGACTTTCTTGCCTCCTTTAAGAACCTCTAAAACTGCTTCAGTTGTATTGACTTGCATTGAGCGGGCCAATGCTACTTTTAAACTAATAAAAGAGAGCCTATCTAGAACCTGGGAATCAGTAAATGCCCCTTACGTGTTATTTTAACATTTACAAAACTACCTATGTAGTACTACTGCCATCAAAGGTAAAAGCAAAACATCTCTTTCAAAGATGCTTTGGTTCCTATTTTCTGCCACTTGTGACCAGTCTTCTCACTACCAGGGAGGCTTTCAAGAGTATCTCACTCTCTAGGGATGAACCAGGGGTTTTGAAACTGAGGGGGAACCCATTAGCAGCCAGCACAGAAAAAGAAAACAGAGCAGAACATGAAAAGGGTAACCGTTCTGTGAAACTTGTTTTATTGCTCATGAATGTATTTGGTGTTGCTGGGTCACAAAATAAAACATTCCTATGGGACAGGGTCAAAAAGTTGGGAAGTTAGTGTTGTTGGTCTGAATACTGCCAGTGAGGTCTACTTTATGGGACAAGGGTAAGGCCATTATTTCCTTCTAACCCTAAAAAGTAAGTCTCTGTCAATGTTTTAAGATCTGCACAGAAGTCAGTCATTTTGTTATAAAACAAAAAAAAACAAGATGAAAAGAGAAATTGTATTTTCCCCACTTAACGGAGCTTTTTAGTATCAAGTTGCTTGGGAGGGGGCACTCCTTTATAGTACCCGGTTCTAAAAAGTACAACTGCTAAACGAGGACAGAAGCGTTTACCTTGTTACTAGCACTGTTCTCAAGAATACTTTTATCAGACTTTGGGACTACTAAAGAGTCCTCAAACAGGAACCCCGTCCCGCTCCCCTGCACCTCAGAGAGAGAGACACTGTGTCGTGTCCCAGCGGGCAGTTACAAAGCTCCTTCTCTTTCCTCTGGATTTTCAGTTTAGGCTTCATGCTGACATCTGACCCAGGTATTTTCAAGACAGATTTATATTACAAATCAAAAGAGAGTACGGTCACACTCTGTGAAATAAAAACCCCTTGCATATCCATGTGTACGAGCACAATAAAGTTACATTTATGCCAATTCCAACCAACAGGGATCTCTCTAAATACATCAAGGCAACTCACGTCCCCGTGGAGAAGATCTGCATGCAAAGCAAGGACTCTAGGTTAGCTTAATCACTCACGAAACCTTCTAGTGTGTCTCTGGAAGAGCGGACGCCGGGGCAGGACAGAGAGAACTATCACGAGTCGGTCTATTCAGGAATCACCTGTGGGCTCTTTTAAAAAGCGCACCTGCCAGGGTCCCGTGTGGCTCTGGAAAACCTGGCTTGAGTGTGCACAGACTGTTCTGAAGGCCAACCACTGTCCACACAAACGTTCACGTGCCCGCTGTGTACAAGATGGCAGTTTCACTAGGGCGACTTAATCAGTCAACAAGAATGTGTTGGGCTTAACCAAGAGTATGGTGGCAACCCAGACATGGGGACCGATGAGCCCACCACTGCCACCGTGGTGACGGGAATCTAGCAACGGGCTGAGAGAACTAGGAGAGCCGCCGTAAAATGAAAAGTATTTGAACTGGGCCTAGAAGATTGAGGAAGAGTTTTAGTAAGCGGGATGTGACCAACTGGGAGCACGGTAGGAGCAAAATCAGAAGGAAGGAGTGTTTGGGGACGTAAAGCTGATCGTGTGGTGCGGTGGGCCACTCCAGGCACAGTCAGTCTGACAAAATATCCAGGAGAGGTTATGGCTCAATGATCAAGTGCTCTGAAGTCTGCACCTAAGGCCTGCTCAGATCACACAGGAGGGAGGGGTCTACGCATCAGGCAGGAAAGCAGGCCCACGGGAGGACCACAGCAGTGTGAATCCAAGGGGATGTGTCACAGCCCAAGGGGAGACGGAAGAGAGAAAATGAGGGAGACAACTGAGCTGGCAAGTACTAGGTGCTCAGTGCGCATCTGCTAAACGGAGACAGCACTGGTGAGCCTTGAGCAAAGGTTCAGGGGCGTTGGGAAGGAAACCGGGATCCAGAGAGGGAAGGAGGGAAGGCAGGTGGGTTACCAGCCAGCCGGGCTGAAGGGGCGGGCCAGCTGCTGGGAAAGGGGGAGAAAGCCTGCAGATGGGCTGGGTGGCGCAGAGACCCGCGAGGAAGGGACAGGCCCTCCGTGGGCTCGTGTCCGGGGGACACAACGCTGGAGAGACTGTAAGAGAAGGAAGGCAGACTTGGGAGGCTTCCGGGGGCCTCGACAAGGAGGGGGAGTAGACAAAGAAAGGCGGAGGGGCACTCCCCCAGCAGAAAGGAAGAGCACGTGTATATATAAATCCTGACGCAGAGGACAGGGACATTAAGGAGCTCATGTTCTCAGTCCCCAGGGCTCAAATTGTACAGCAGGAAGTCAAGAACGCCGGGCCCCTCGGCTGGGCCTATACCCAGTTCCATTTTCCCAGGGGGTAAAGTCAGTTTAAGAGAGGACCCGTGTATACCCATGGTTGAAACAAAACAACTCTAAAGACAATTCCTGCTAATAATCTTTAGAAAGCTCTCCAGGCAGGAAGATTAATTACGGAGTCTCTGCTTCATAAAAGGAGAGCCAGAGTATATGTGTCTATTTATTACCCAGAGTTGGATGCTTTCTCTTCTTAATTAGAAAAGCAGACTAGCAGTTACCTGATTTTCTCTCAAACCCCAGCTTCCCACTGCCTCCAGCCCCCCGTTCACTGGTGCTTTTACGTTTATGCGAGCCTCAAAAGACCCAAGAATTCCAGCTCCCCAACTGCACGTGCCCTTCCTGGGGTCACAGTGAAGTGCCGTCTACGTCCGCGGCAGAATCTGGAGTAAGTGCAAGAGATGACCCTAGCCAAGTCTGTCAGAGCATCTAACAGAAAACTCTGCTTCCAAAGTGCCCAACAATTTGAGAGAGCTCCAAGTCCGCTAGTATCAGTGAGGCTGTAAGATTCCGAATGAATACAGAGGGCTGATGAAAATCTCTTCTAACTATGCAAGAAAAGACAATGCAGGTGGTCACTCTTCTGTGTCCCTGAGTAAACAACCTACGTTTCAGTTTCCCTTACAAGATGAAGTAGGACTGCACAATGGTTTAAATTCCTTCTGAACTAAATGTTCTATGAATACTTCATTTTGTTTAAAACCAACAGGCCAAAAAATAACCCTGACCTGTAGAAAAACATGTGTGTACATACACTCATTTCTTAACAAACTTGACATTCAGTGTCAGTAAGAAACCACCTGGTGCAGCTTTTCATGCTGTGGGCTGAAGCAATGTATTACTAACACTTCAAGGACTTACACCATGAGCATAGTTTCTTAAAACATACGCTAAAAATCAGACTAATTTTGGAAAGGCCTGTTCCTCCACTTTGAATGGACCATTTTAGAAGGTAATTTCAGAGTTTATTTGCTACAGGGTTTTTAAACACAACACGTACCCTAATAGTTTCACCAAAAACAGTTCTCTTAGGAGGCACCTACTACCCTACAACAGACTAAAGATGAGAATGGGCAAAAACTGGAGCACCTGGGTGGCTCAGTGGGTTAAGCGTCTGCCTTTGGCTCAGGTCATGATCTCAGGGTCCTGGGATTGAGCCCCACAGCAGGCTCCCTACTCAGCAGGCCTGCTTCTCCCTCTGCCTCTGCCCCTGCCCCTCCCCTGCTCACTCAAATAAATATAATCTTAAAAAAAAAAAGAGAGAATGGGCAAAAAACTAAGAGCCTTAAGAGACTTTTTAAAAGATTATACTCAATATTCCCATTGTCATCTAAATTCACACTATTAAAAAAAAATCACCTGATATTCAGCTAATTCTTATCAGTTAAGATACATGGATTTAGAGAACCCTAATTGTAATGATACGTGGGTTCCCTGGTTGTTATTTTTTTGTCAGATCTCTGCAATTGCACTAAGAATACCCTTGGAATTTTAGGGTTATGACATGAAAACTTTCCCCTTCTAGCAGGAAAAAAAAAAAAAAGGCAGAGGCTGCTCGAAGTAAGCCACTCCTGTTTTTTCTCCACATTCTCTGTTACTTCATGGTGATCTGAAAAATTAAAATGGTCTTGGTAGGTTAAAGATCTCTAAAAAACAACTCCACAAACTGAGATCTTCGCATTTAAAAAATGTTCTGCTTCTATTTACTCAGGTAGCAGCACCTTTTCCAAGGCGTGCACCTTCGTAACAGAAGCCACATTTATGTGGAAACGTCTAGGAGAGTTTGCAGATAAAGATATTAAAACTGAAAGCAAAGAGCATTCCTCTACTACAAATTAAGATAAAATTCAAACCAATAAGGCCACCCCTAAGAGAACAAATTTAAACGAAGTTAAATCTAGCTAGTTTTTCCCCATCCAAATAACTGTCCAAGATCAGGGAATGTCACTGCCTTTGTACAGGACCCAAAAGGAAGACACAAATTGATAAATGATTTCACTTTTTGCTCAATGAAGAGAAAAATGAGCCTGACTTATACATTCATCTAGCATGGGGTTACAAAAAAATTTGTTCCCATACCAGTAAATTATATCTCAACTTTAAAATAGCATCCTAAGGCTCACAACTCATTGAATCTAAGTCACTGGAGTTAAAATTAAAGGTCTTTGTTTCAAACACCAATTAGAGTTTTGAAAAAAACCTTTAGACCCCAATTTCTTCACAGATCTAAAATTGCTTTCAAGCTAATACTGTATCATAACATTTACTTGGAAAAATATTTTCCAGCTAAAAGATAAGAGGAGGAAAATTGTTCTTCTCTGTTCCTGTGATTTGAGAGAAGTCTAGAACCTAGCTGCCTCTGGATATATTTAGCAAAATCTCTCAGAACTTCCGTCCTGTATTCTGTGCAATGGCACATACCATGGTCAGGAACAAAGAGCTCACCAGCCAAGCTCTGGGCTCACCAACTCTACCTCTTATTAGTTGAGTATCTTTGGGCAAACCACTTTACTTGTCTGTGCCCCAATTTTCCCATCTGAAAAGCAGAGATAATACCGCCTACAAAAATGACAGGAAGAAAATGCACAAGTAGATTAAAAGTTTCTCTTTACGTAACTAATCGGGCAAGTCAGTTCACATTCTTCACCTTCATAGTATCTAGGAAAAGAGGTATATACTATCTCCATTTTACAGGTAATTGTGATTTACGTGTGGCATGCATAATTCAAACACCTTACATCTTATTTCCCAGTACTTGGCAATATTATTACATTTAGGAGAAAAATGTAACTTTTGGAAATTAATTATAAAAACAACTTTAATTATCTCAGAATTAAAGCAAACTCCTTCCAAATGAAAGCTCTTCAAGTCATAAGAAAAAGAATTCTAAAATTAAGTATTTCAGGAAAGACACAAGAAACAGTTTCTCTTCACTGAGCTAGGCTTAAGGAAACTTACCTCATTGGCCCTACCTTAGAATTAAAAAAATAACATTTTCATTAACATTTGATTATGTAAATTAACAAAAACAATAATCCACTAATAATGAATCATTTTATAATTTTCCTTTTTATACACAATTGTCAAAAAGCAGCCAAGTGCCCCTAGACTTGGTATTTTTGTGCTATAAACACAATGATCTATTCCAGTGGTGAGGATTCAATTGTTCAGGGCTTAACTTTCCATTTTAAAGGTTTTCCCCTGCTTTTTGCTTCTCTAGCCTTCCCTTGGTTGACTCGGCCTCATTACTGGTTAATTCCATCCCTGGAGAAGCACAGCACAAGAGGCTACACATTCAGAGCACTGGGAACCAGTCAGTCAGCTGGGTGAAGGGGATGGTCCTAACCGTCCACGTGGGGTCTACCAGTGAGTTCTGATACCACAACAAATAAAAAGTGCCTGCGCTGCTTGTTAATTGTAACAAAGGCAAGCTAGTCCATCTTTCAGAGTAATGATTACAGAGTGGTTTAGCCGCTCTGTTTCTTTGAACAAGGAAGAACAAGATCCATGAACCAAGAAGTTGAATAACAATACATCGTTTGCCTCTGTGGTATCAATGCACAGGTTTTAGAGAGGGGGTAAAGTGATTAAAACAAAACAAAACTACTAAGAGTCTTACTGAAAATAAGAGATCAGAAGTGTTGCATTTTTTTTTTAAATGACAATTTATAATCCTGTTCTCAGGCATCACGACTGGAAACATAAGCTAAACATAAGTGTTTTGTATTGTAAATGATCAATACAAAGAGTTAGACCGACTGAGCCTCTGAACTAATGTAAACATCACTTAGCAGGATCTGCACAGAGACACAAGTAAGGAAACACTGATATGGTGAAAGTAATCACTGCACACTTTTTAACAGACTTATAATCCAAAATAATGGAAACTCAATGACTGTCACAGTTTTATCACTGGATGCTCATGGAAGCCTCTAATCTCTGCTTTTCTTTCATCCTCCAATCGTCACATTAAACAAAAGCTCAACTGCTTTTTTGTTAATCATTTTTTAAAACATAAGAAAAAGGAAAAAAGCATGAGAGAAGATTTTTAAAAGGGGGACAGGAGTTACAGAAACTCAAGTGTCCACACAGAAGGAGCTAATCTGCACTTACTGTTTCTGAATGTGTATGACCTATGTGAGAGTTAACTGATTTCATCCCCCCTGAGAGGAGTAACTTTGGATTTCCGGTAAAGACTGGATGTAGGTCAAATCCTATTATCAAGAACTAATTAAAGTACGAATTATTTTGGTTGTGCAAAAACTGTGACACGCAGAGTTGTGTGACACAGAGGTCTGCTCTAAGTTATAAGGCTCAGACTTAGAGATCTCTGCCAGCAAGGAGCTTCTCAATCAGGGTGACCACTCATTAAGGGTCACAATTTTCCAGTAACACAGACGTCATTTGAAGGTTAGCCTCCTTTCCCTCTGTAGGGCAGCCCTTGGAGTGCACACAGAAACTCTGCCGCCAGTATGCACACTGAAGCTCTCTTTTCAGGAAACCAAAACTTCAGGAGCTCTTTCCCCCTCTCCCCGCTTGCTCCCCTCCACCCTGCCACCTGCAGGAGCTCTTTTAGAACAACATAAAAAAGCAGTAATGCTTAAAAACAGGATTTTGTGTACACACGCATCACCTATTCTGAATGTTTATATAGTTCCTCATAAAGACGTGTGAATGGGGCGCCTGGGTGGCTCAGATGGTTAGGCGTCTGCCTTCGGCTCGGGTCATGATCCCAGGGTCCTGGGATCTAGTCCCGCATCGGGCTCCCTGCTAGGCGGGGAGCCTGCTTCTCCCTCTGCCTCTCTCTCTCTCTCTCTCTCTCTCTGACTCTCATGAATAAATAAATAAATAAAACATTTACCAAAAAAAAAAAAAAAAAAGACATGTGAATGAAAGCAACCAAATATACTTGGCTTAAGGATAATTAATGGCTCATAAACTATTAGAAAACAGTTGGTTTCTGAAATTCAACTAGACAGCTCAAAGATGAGTTTTCAAAGGTCCATGAAACTTCTAACAAATTCTGGGCTGTGTGTATGTATTAATATGTGCAGACATACACCACTTTGCTGGGGAGAAGGTGCACAGCTTCCTCAAAGGGGCCATGACTCAAAAGAAGTTGAAACCACTGCAATCAAGTAAGATCACTTTTATTTATTCGAAGAATAATTTTAATTACATGAAGAAACTGGGTTATTTAGCTCAAGTCAATGAAAACAGCAGAGACTCTGAACACACTTCCTACCTCTGTGTCCCAGGAATCATGAAAGACAGGGTTTCTACTACTCCTTTTGGTCTGCGGGGGAAGATGATGGTCTTCTTCATTGCCATTCCTTCTCCTTTTCCTGAAATTAAATCACAAGGAGGAAAAAAAAAATCCAACAATCGATCTTTTAGACTCTTAAAATTGTAAATCATGACAACAAATTTGCCCTCTTGCCTGAGAAAACAGAATTCATCATATGCTATCCCAATAGGTAAAAAGTTAGAAGTACACCATCGCTGGGCACAAAGAGTGAAAATATAAAATAGCAGCAGTAGGGGCGAGCTTAAATTAGTACAACTGATTTCTAAAAAGAAGCTTGGCAACTTTAAATGCCTACTGGGAATAAGTAAGTGCAGGGTGATGCTAATGACTAAGCTTCCAAATTCCACCTAATTAAGGTTATCTTCCCTCTGCATTTCCTGAAATCACAATTTCAGGTTACCTCATCTTATTCCCTTCCATAGGACAACATGTAAGACAGGAGTGGCTGCCTCTGCCCATGTACCCCCAAAATCCTAATGAAAATGGTGCTACACAGGGATATCATCAGAGGTTCATGTGGGCTCTAATCTGCAGTTTTCTTTCATCCCTGATTTCCCCCCAATTATCACAATGCAACAAAAGCTCAATGCCCTCTAAAGCATTAGATCACCCTTCCGGACCATCACTGGAAAGGCTGCTCTGAGACACATTAATTACATTATTCTCTCTACACCACCTAGTATTATATGTTACGTCACCAGATTGTTACTTTGAGTTTGCAGCACAAGCTGTTCAAAATTTTCAGGTTTAAGGAAAAACTACATATTAAGAATTAAGTGCTCCTAGAAGGGCTTCTAAGCCCCCGTTTAGAAGACAGAAAATAGAAACAAATTAGAGGAGGTAGGTATCATTTGAAGGCAAACTGCCCGGAACTGTGCTATCCAATATGGTAGCCACTAGCCACATGCAGTTATTTACATTTAATATCCAGTTCCTTAGTCACACCAGCTACATTTTCAGTGTTCAAAGGTCACAGGTAGCTAGTGGCAACTGTACTGGATAGCACAGAGGACATTCCCATTGCTACAGAAAATGCCACTGGACCACACTGGCAAGAGGCCAATTTATACAAAGCAGCATAATCTATTATAATGAAAACTCTTAAAGATTCAGGTTTCTAAAGCTAGAGGAAAAACAGCTTTGGGGAAAGTACTGAATTTGAGCACCCGGTATCTTCTATAGTCGTATATTTTCTATGCGAGGAGTGTGGCATAGTGGGGCAGGTCTATAATCCAAAGGTTTTGAGTTGAGGTCTTGATACTGGAGAAAATTTAAGTTATCACCCTGAGCTCAATTCCTTGTATTCTGCAATACTCCTGTACACTGAATACATGCAACTTTATTAATGAGTACAGATTCAGTTTAGGCTTGGAATGATAAATTGTGAGTGTGTGGTTCCGATCAAGCATTAACCAACCTGCAAAGGGCTATACCACTGACCTCATTCTAAGACTCAGTTGTTTCTAAGATCATCATTTCTGCTCCCTAACCCTTCTCTCAGGACATTAGATCTTAACCGCACATTACTGTGAAGTATGTAGAGGTTAAAAACTAGGTGAAAAGCAGGTTTAATACTCATTTAAATGGATGTGCTATTACTGCAGACTTGAACCAAATAATTATTATTTTCACCACGATATGATCAGAGAATTTTTTTGGAAAAGAGCTGCAGTTACAGAGCAAGGTCCAACAGAAGACCAGTAGCCACCCCAGGGAAACTCCCCAAATGCTGGTCCCCAAACTCTTCTCTTATCAATATGCCAGCAGCTGACTGTGCTCTGGGCTGCTGAGCCACTCTAACCACTTATGAGCCTGACCCAAACTTTCCAACATCCTCTTTTATAACCCATGGTATATCTCTGCAGTGACAAAATGAACATCAAGGAGGTTGTCAGGCAAAAAGGTTGTGAGAACAGAGGATGAGCTGGTTTTGTAGATTTCAAGTAAACTCTGGGAAAGTCACATGAAATATCCCTGCCTCATAATCAGCTGCTTTCTCAAGGTATCCCAATCAGCTCCTGTAGGGGGCCCTCTCCTTTGGATGGTACTGAGTAAGAATGACCCCTCCTGTTCTTCTCCTTTTTCTAGGCTCTTTGTAGATTCTATCCTTGAAATAGTCCTCTTTCAACAGTATTGTTAGTAATTGCCAAGATTATAGCTTCATGTTCAACCGTATCCACAAAGTCAGATTATAGCCTTCCCCATTAATGCCATAGACCAGGTTATAATTTTAGCAGCCACCATATAATTGATTATGTTCTCCCCAGGCATCTAGTTACAAATTGTTGTTTAGCATCTGTTACTTTTAAGGATGGTTGATTACATCACTGCTCATCCTTTCATTTCTTTCCAATCTTCCTGTCATCTAGAGACTGAACACAGAAGAAATCTTAAGAGTATGGAGACTAGTGTTTTTCAAACTTTTTTTTTCTTATAGTAACAGAGCCCTTTTTTTCTATCAGGAAAAAAAAATCATTCAATATATATATGAAATAAAGGACTTGTTTTGGTTAAAGTAGGGGTTTCCTTGGCATACATCTACCCCTCTATGGCCACCTCAGTATATTTTAAAACAGTCTGAAAAATCACCATCTCAGACCAACCCCTTATCTTTTTTTTTTTTTAAGATTTCATTTATTTATTTGACAGAGAGCGACACAGCGAGAGAGGGAACACAAGTGGGGAGAGTGGGAGAGGGAGAAGCAGGCTTCCCACTGAGCAGGGAGCCTGATATGGGGCTCGATCCCAGGACCCCGGGATCATGACCTGAGCCCAAGGCAGACGCTTAACGACTGAGCCACCCAGGCGCCCCAAGACCAACCCCTCATCTTAAAATTGAGGAAACAGATCCAGAAAACTGAGCTGACCTGGAGATACGATGACAGCAGGAGCTGGAAGAGCTGGTCCATCATATTCCACAGAACATGGGGTGAAAAGTAGGTAAGAAGCCCCTGTCCAAATCACATGCGTTTCCTTTATAGCAATGAAGTTACCAGTATAAACGTGTTGAGGTTATTTGCGTACTGGATAAAAGGCATCTGCTACCAGTATAAGCACATTCACATTTGCTTATCCAGTGATGGATAAAAGGAATCTTTCTGCAGGAAATATTTAGACTTTTGCAAATATGAGACATCACAAGAGACTATTAGAAGTATAAACTGGGTTTGGGAAAGAAAACAATAGCAGTTGGATCTGGCTTACTACGCCTAAGGATCTTGTTCCTAATTCCAATAGCAAGTCGGTAACTGGGCCCCTAATTTCAAATCTAGTCCATTCTTATTTTCTATACAAGCAGGATTTATGCCCCCACTCACTATATACCCAAATCAATAATCCAATGCAAAAGTATGGGTGACCCCAGATTTTCACTATCCGACCAAATAACTTCAGGATGCTTTCCAGAATCTTAATCCCTGAATTGACCATCCTCCAGAGCAAGATCTTTGTGGGAAGACTGTCAATCAATCACATTCAGAGCCAATGAAAATATGGAACAACAAGAAAAAATCCAGCATAATCTACCAAGGCAAACCTATTTTATTCACTTGAGCTTCAGTGAGACTATCGGGAAATAATGAAAGAGCAGTGAACCTGGAAAGACTCGAGTAAACCGGCTGAGCTCTCTGTTTCCTCATCAGAAAAATGACAGTGTTGGACTTGGTGATCTACAGGTTTTCACTTCAAATTCCACGATGAGGGGTTTTTCTAATTTGAAGTAAAGTTGCTCCTCTTCATTTGGGGTACCCAATCCCAACTCTCTCCTCCCCAACTTCTTACAGGAGGAAATGAGGAGAAAAGAAAGAAAGAAAGAAACTGCAGCTTGATCCGGACTCTATTCTGCACTCGTCAAGCAAGCACAGCACCCCTAGGTGAAGAACCGGGTCCTGAAGCCAGGCTCAGTGGAAAAGTAGAGCATCGCGATACAGCCCTACCTCCCGCCTTCGGAGTCAAACGGCTCCGCATCCAAACAGTTTAGAATCCTGCCTGTTAATGCTACAAGCCACTTTGCTCATCTGCCCTTCCATGTCCACAACCGTCCGAGGGCACAAATTCTTCCATCTATCCCCATCCTTCCCTGCTACAGAGTTAAATCCAATCCTTCTTTCTGACCTTGGGGAGACGGCAGCTCCCCGCCCCTGCCCCTCAAAGACGTCCTAGGGGCTCCCTCTCAAAGATCAGACATTCCTCCCATCCCCCCACCCTCCTAAATTTAGGACAGGGAAGCTTTAGGGCCACTGTCTCTCTTCTGGGACCGTTCAGTCTGCATTCCAAGTAGGGAAAGACGAGGAAGGGGAAAAAAAGACGGGGTTGGGGTGGGGGAGACGTGGACCCCGGCGAGTCACTCCTCCAGCACCTCAGGAACCAGGTACTTGCGCATCCCTCTCCCTCCTCCCCCGGGCCGCGAAGCACCCAGATGGAGACCCTCAGGGCTCACGCTTGCTCGGACCCCCGCTTCGCGCGCCCCTTCGGCTCCAGCCCCCGGCGAGGAGCTGGGAAGGAAGGGGGTCCCTGTGGTCTCACCTGGGGCGGAGGCGCTCGCTCATGGCAGCCGGTGGAGGGGAGCGACGCGGCGCCGCTCCGCGAGAAGAGGGAACAGAGGGTGTTGCGTTCCGGCGGCCACCACGCCCACCCCCTCGGGCCTTGGCTCTAGCCGCGGCGCGGGTGGACGCCGCCGGCGGTGAGTACCCCTCGGTGGGACCTGTACCACCGCTACTTCCGGCGTCTGCTCCGCGCCCCCCCATGTCGCAGCCGCCGTGGTACCGCCCTCTCGCGGCTGCGCAGTGGCGCGACCGCGGCCGCGCCGACCGGTAACCCCGCCCACGGGAAGAGGCGGGCTCGGAGTGGGGAGGAGTGACTGAGAGCTTCTGGGAGAGAGGACCTCACGAGAGGCAGCCTGAGCTTTCGCCTGTTCGCAGCGGAGCGGGGACGGCATAAAAGTCAAGCCAGGTTTAAATTAATTTAAATTACGTCATCATAATACGATACAAGTATTTGAGTTAGGCCCCTGTGCGGTAACAATTTTTTTTAAAACACAGCTGAGAAGCATCAGGCAGGGGCGCAGACGGCCTGCAGCGGGTGCCTGCCGGGGAGTTGGGAAGCGGCTCGAGGGCTGCGCTGGGGGGCTTGTCGCGGGGGCTTCCGGAAGTTCCGCGCCTGGCGAGGTGAGGGTGCTGCTCTGGGCTAGTCGCGGCCGGTCGTGCTGTGTCCTGTGGCCCACGCCCTGGGTCGGGGATGGGGGAGTGCTTCCCGGGATGGGAGGGAGTCGATCGGATGGCGGGCCAGCCGGGGGTGGGGTTGCTTCCCGGGGCGGCAGGACGAGCCCCCTTCGGCGTCCGTGCGGTTCCGGCGCCTCCGGCTGGGGCTGCAGGGGAGGAGAGCCCGGTGCCTCAAGCAGCCCGGCGGTCCCCGCCCACTCAGCGTGAAGCAGCGGCTCCGCTTCCGGAAAAAGTGAGGGAGCCGGGAGGGGGGCGGGCCAGGTACCGCGGCGGTGGCGGGTAGGGCTTGGGGAGTCCGCGGCGGGGTGGGGGGAGGGGAGGCGTTTGGCAGGAGTCCCACGGGCTCTGCGCCCGGAAGGCGGGCGCGGTCTTAACTGTTTGCTTGCCGGAGCACCGAGGGGGACTTGTCCTGCGGATAACCCAGTTAGCTTGTACTTGGTTCAGTGCCGCGCCACATCCATTCACTGGGTGTGCTGTCGAGTTACTTTTCTGATTGTGTCTCGCGCAGGCTGACAGTTAAAATCGAGTTTGTTCTGCCAGACTCGGGAACTGCGATCGTGAGGCATGGAGATCCAAGAGAAACAACCACAAAATTAGCATTCTTCTGGAGAAGCTCCAGTAAGAAAGTAGTCAGTCACCCACGGTAAGACGTTACCACGTGAGCGTACAGGATCTTTCCAGTAGGATTAAGTGTGGTGGAGTAATGTAGAGGCAGACATGTCTAAGAGGTCCCTAGCCCCTTCTAAAGTTAATTAGTCCAAGGCCCGTGGACTGGCTTCAGTTGTGGGTATTTTTGTAAGTCAGCAGCCCATAACTTTGATTGTATTGTCAAGGGGTACCTCTAAAGTAAGAGTAATTAAAGTTTTTTGGCCGGAAACAGCTTCGTTTTGCCTGAGCTCATATAGGATCCTAAATGGATTGGCCAGGATTCTATGTATTTATTTTGTAAATGGTTTTAGTCTCATTTTTTGACCTATTCAGTAGTCAGAAGACATTCACAGTTAGTCATCTATGATGATAGCATTTGCATGTTTATGTCTAGAAAAGGAATTCATTCAACTATCATATGCCAGCCTCAGTGCTCAAAGAGGTACAAATGATACATGGTATTTTTTCACGTTTTTACATGGTATGAGTATCACAAAGATTTCAAATAATGAACTTGCTGATAGTCCATTGTACTTACTCCTTAAGTCAAAAATTGGGGACTCTGTCCCCTCCATGTATGTATCATTTGTACATCATAAACACTTTTACACATACATGTATGTGTGTACACACATATTATTAATATGGTGTTAGAGCTTCATCTCTCATGCTGAAATGATGGAAGGTCTTGCACCGAAGTGGATCTTCCATATACAACTTTGCAAACCATGACTCTAAGCAACAGCCTTCAGATTCTGGCCTGAGTTTTTACTCTTTACTATTCTTTCCTTAAACGATGTGTTTGAGGGGTTTTAACAATTTCTTTATACTCTGGTAATAACCAGTTGACTTGCTGTAACCTTAAACAGCAAACGTTTTAATCTGACTGGTATATTGAAGCTTTATTTATTTGAAGAGAGAGAGCATGAGTGGGGGGGGGGCAGAGGGAGAAGCAGACTCCCCGCTGAGCAGGGAGCCCCACTCAGGGCTCAATCCCAGGACCCTGGGATCATGACCTGAGCTGAAGGCAGATGCTTAACGACTAAGCCACCCAGGCGCCCCCTTACTGGTATTTTGTACAACTTTTTCTTCCATTAATTTAACCATTAACTTGTTAGATTAGTGTTTTGCCTTTCCTCATCTACTAGTTAGGGATGTTGAAAACCCCTTTGGTTGTTTTTTTTTACTAACAATTGATTCTTGGAAGACTTTAAGAAATGTAAACAGAAGTGAAGCCAGGGATACTTATCTTAAAACTGTGTCTTCTATTTTCTACCTCTGTAAGAAAAAGAATAAGTCAAAACACATTTCTTAAAGCTTCCTTCAATCTAGGTTCTTCCAAATGAAAGGTACACACATAAATGAGATGTTAGTAATTACCAACTATGTGCCCCTCATAATGTCCCATTTACCTTTTTCAGGAATAGGAGAGTGATACTCATCCAGGATGGAAGTGTGTCCTTACTGTAAAAAGCCATTTAAACGATTAAAATCCCACTTACCATACTGTAAGATGAAAGGATCAACTGTACCGGCTGATCAGAAAGCTTGTCAGTCCAAGCTCGCTACACGCCCACACGCTAAAAAAATGAAAGGGCCAATCACAGACTTAAATAACACTAAAGAGAGAGAGTTGGAGACGGAGAGTAAGAAGAGAGATACCAACTTGGTAAAAGACAAACCAGAACGGGCAACAAAGTCTTTTCCACTATTGGCTGTTGGTTTGGAAAGAGCAGGTAGTAAAAAGGCAGATAAAGACATCCAGAATCAAGTTCAGTGCTCCATCAAAAAGTTGAAAAATACTGACCCAAAGATTACTTTCCAGGGAGAAACGAAGGCTCAGTTTTATGCATCAGAGGACACCACTCCTGAAAGAGAACTTGTCAGATATTTGCCTCCATCAGGGGAAAGTAGAAGTAACCTTTCAGAAACTGAAACATCTTTGCCTCTTGGCCCAGTAGAACCTTTTTCATCAAATCAAGATAGAAAATACTCTTCAGCTTTACCCAGTGATGTTCAGACCACTTCTACTGATTTAAGATTGGACAAAATTGATCACCCAAGACAGAAGCTTCTAGTAAATTTACCAGATAAGCCTGTTGGTGATTATCACAGTTCTCCCATGAATCTCAATTATGGGGTTGAAAGACTACAAACATCATTGTCAAGCAATGAGAGACAGTCCGAGGCCAGGGACCACCTCTCAGAAGTCTCTTCTCGTGTTAGAGACTCTGAGATTCAAGAAAAGAACATGGAATCACAATTGTTAAATTTTAAAGTTAGCGCAGTCGACATCCCAGTCAGGGAGAACCAAGGAAAAGGACTGAACCTTGGAACAGAGGCACACGGGAGCAGAGGAAATGCAGAGAAAAGCGTATCTGTAAAAGCAATCCCGGAATGGGCTTCTGTGAACGGTGATGCAAAGAACATCAGGAGTAATGATTCAGCCACAGAGAAGAAAGGTCCAGATGAAGGTCCCAGTTTAAGTTTGTTCACTCCAAGAGAGACAGCCTGCAGTGGGCCGTTCCCTGTGTCACGGTCGTATAATGAAAGCCTTGCCTCTCTGGCTGTCAGATTTTTTCCAGAAGAGAAGGCAGAAGCCTGCAGCCTTAACCGAGTCCCTGTTGTGAAGGTGTTAACAGAGAGTGAAGGAGCCTCGCTGCAACACAAATCTGGCTATGGGCCCGAAGTGTCACACCCTGGGTGCCAACAGACCTTCCATTCAATCCTGCCTCGCGCCTCTTACAGCCCCTTCAGTCAGACTGGCATTGCTGATAGGCAGACCCTTTCAAGCTCCCTGGGGCTGGAGTGGTTTCCAGAGCTCTATCCTGGTTATCTTGGACTAGGAGTATTGCCAGGGAAGCCCCAGTATTGGAATGCAATGACCCAAAAGCCTCAGCTCACCAGTCCCCAGGGGGAGAGACTCTCAAAAGGTAAACATGCTCATTTTCATGGGCCATCCAGCCCGTCCATACAGCTCTGTGCCTTTTGAATTAATGAGGTTCAGATTACTCCTGTTTTTGCTCATTCAGCTTATTTTTACCTAGGCATTCCAGTATACCAGACTTAAAATTGTTCTGAAAACATTAATTCTTGCTCCAGAATTAGTACCAGTGGTGTTTATCATTCTCTTTTCCCCTCCAGGCAGAGTTGAAGGTCGGACTAGGCCAGGTCAGCCGGTGACATTGGTCACTTGCGTTTTCGCAGCAGGAGGAGGCATGGCCAGTAGATGTTGGGCAGGTGTTCAAGCTGTCTTGAGAGATCCAGTAAGAGATTGTGGAAAGAGACAGACTGTGAGGCTGTCTCCTCGGAGGCCCTCTGGAGGCTCCTTGCCAGTGCCTGGAATGGTTTAAGTGGCCCCAGAGAGCTGGGAAGTTCCTGGCATTTCAGGGAATCCTCCCTTTTTCCTGCATGACCTGACCTTCAGTTATTGGACTACCTCTAGTTACAGTACATAAAGTTTCTTCATTTTCTTCACCAGGAAGCTTTAGATTTTTCTTTTTTTCAGGTTTCTAGAAGCACAGTTGGTTTAATATAGCATTCAGATTTCATGTGTGTGTATTATTTACTAGTGCTTTTAGCTTCGACAGGAGACCTGTAGCAACTCCGAATAGCTTTGCACCTGGAAAAGTTGTAACATCTCTTCTTAAAAGGGACATATTTTCTCTCTCTGGTATATTTTATAAGTTTTTACATATTCACTAAACCCCAGGTCTTCTGGTCTGAAAAGCATTTTTTTTTGGTATGGTAATTATTTCTTTCTAAAGATTTCAAAACAGAAGTGTAGTAAGTGAAGAGTGTTGCTAGCTAAAGCTACATCTTCGACTGCTTTAGTGGTTACCGATTTTCCTACCAACAGACCTAACCTCCAGAGTTGTAGTCTGTCTCAAGTTCAAAGTTGGATCCCCAAGCCCCTTCTCCATGTTGACATAGAATTACTATTAACATCTGTGTTGCTTTGTTTTCAGAGTGCTTCCATCCGTTTTCTTATTTCAGCCTTGCCACGCTGAGAGGTGGGCAGCGATTTTGCTCTGTTTGGCAGGTGATGAAATAGGCAGAGAGGATAAGTGATTGGTTCAAGGTCATGTTGCCAGTAGATGGTAGAGCAGCGGGTAGAACACAGTCTCTTTCAGACCACATTTCGCCCTTTCCACTAAACCGTATTGCAGAAAGTGCGCCTTAACTAGAAACACAGGTGGTTGTCAGATCTCCACTTCTCTGTGGTTTGCAGTGGCCCGTGGCAAATCTCTCTGGCAAGTGGGACTTCTTTATTTCCTGTACTGTCTTTAATAGTGCTGAGGAATGTCTCTGATACAGGCACTTTTCATTTCAGAGAAGGGGAGGGGACTAACATTGGTCGGGTGATGACTGTACCAGACACTGCTAGGTATGTGGCATTATTACCTCATTCAACCTTCATGACAACTCAGGTGACTGTCACTGAAGTCATTGTCCCACCTTCCTTTATAGATGAGGAATCTGAACCCCTGACATGTTAAGTGATGTGCCCATGTTCATACAGTAAGTGGTGGTCAAAGAGAGAACCTTAAGCAGGCTCCACACTGAGTGCGGAGCCTGAGCTGAAATCAAGTCAGACGCTTAACCAACTGAGCCACCCAGGCGCCCCAGGTTCAGAGCTCTTCTGTTCTCTTTTATTGGTTACAGTCTGCAGTACTCTGATTAGTTTGGCAGACTGAGAGTTCTGAGGACACCACAGAGTTGGGTTTCAGTAAGTCAGGAACAAGAATTAGGCTTATGGAACTCGGCAGCATTAGGAGCCGTCTTGTGAGGTTTAATAAGGATTTTCACAGACTTACTACCCAAAAAAAGCAGTTCTCCCAGCATTAGCAAAAATAGATTTTAGAAGTTCAGGATTTAAATCCCTGGAGACTCAGCAAATATAGTGCCTTAAGAGTCCTCAGCAATAGAAATTGGCTTCCTTTGTTCAGAGGAAAGCCTTGCACGCGCTTAGCTGGGGATGCTTGGCTGAGCCTTGGCTGAATTCAGGTGCCTAGGCTTTCAGGACTCGAGTTGAAGAGATCTAGGTCCTTGGGTCCCAAATCTGGACAACTGACAGTTTCACATAGGATTAAAGATTCCTGGACCTCATCCCCAGAGACTGATCCTGAAGTAGGGTCTAACGATCTTGTTTTCAAACATGTCTTAAGTGTTTCTGCAGAGCAGCCAAGTTTTAGAGTACCACTGGTATTGGGGAGGCCACTGGAGCGGGGAGCCTCAGACCCAGCATAGGGGATGGGGGGATCGGCAAATGGGGGGAAGGGAGGGAGAAGTTTGAAAAAAACACAGTTCATGGAACTACAAAAAGCAAAATTTGGCTGGTGGGGATAGCAGAAGGTAAAATGAGGAAACTTGGGGTGCCTGGGTGGCTCAGTTGGTTAAGCGTCTGCGTTCAGCTCAGGTCATGATCCCAGGGTCCTGGGATCAAGCCCTGCATCAGGCTCCTTGCTCCACGGGGAGCCTGCTTCTCCTTCTCCCTCTCCCTGCTGTTCCCCCTGCTTGTGCTCTCTCTCTGTCTAATGAATAAAGAAAATCTTTAAAAAAAAAAAAATGAAAGCTTACAGGGTCATGGGTTTGGGTGTTTTTTGGTGGGTTTTTTTTTTTTAAGTTTTTTTTTTATCTTAGAACACAAGTGGGAGGGGCAGGGAGAGAGAGAGAGAGAGAGTCTTAAGCAGACTCTGCCCTGAGTGCAGAGCCCCATGCAGAGTTTGATCCCACAGCCCTCAGATCACAACCTGAGCCAAAACCAAGACTCTAAAACTTAACTGACTACGCTACCCAGGCGCCCTGCGTCATGGGTTTTTAAAGGCCATTCTCTCATCAAATAGCATTTCCAGAAATAAACTGTCCTGGTGAGATGCTTGAGATGGCACATGTGGGGAAGGATCAGGGCAGAACAGGAGCAGCACAAGCCAGGATGAGTCTGCTAGTAGAGGAGGCCCTGAAAGGGGAGGTTTTACATAAAAGAACATGTGACAACAGCCAGAGAGACCTAAGGGGTGAGTCAAGTCACATGTCCAGAGTTCCAGCCAGGCCAGAGAGGTGATAGGAAGTGTTAGAGGTACCCAAGGTAGGGACGGGACGGTTCCGGCGTTTCTGTGAGCAGAGCTGTTGTCACTAGGTTTGGGATGTAAGGACGTCAGCACTAGCAGGTCAAGGACAGGAGATGGCAGTGGGTGTTAGCATTCTTGGGCCCACGGCCAGGCCGGCAGGGATGTAGATCAGAACCCAGGGTCCCTGAGTAGCAGGAAGGATGAACTGGAGAAGCTCTAACAGAACTTCTGTGGGTTCTGAGCTGGCCTCTCCTGGGCTTCAGGCTCTTTTATAGCCCAGCTCAGGGCCAGAACTGATAATGTTCACACAAGTTTGAACTCTTACTGAAGGAGGCTGCTGGCTGGAGAAGGAACAGAGTTGAGGGGCCAACCCGTTCCTGACATGGCAGGGGAAATGGTTCTATAATTGGAGTTTTCACATAAGTGTCTCTTCCCCTTTTTTTTCCATTTTTTTCCAAGAAGAATGGATCATGTCGTGCTTTGTTTTTTAAGAGATTAATCTTCACCTTGGCGAAATAATTATTTTCCGTGTAATTTCTTGGAAGCCAGTATGGTTTTTCTCATTGTTCCTTAATGTAACAAGTATTTGGATAGCATTTTTACGTCCATAGCAACCTTTACCTCCTCTGCTAAACCTATCGTAAATATTTGCTTCATTTATCTTTTATCCCAATGAACCCCACCAAGACCAGAGAACCAGCAACAGTAGAGATTCCCTGCCTATCATTAAACAAAAACAGGTGCAGGAAAGCTGTAACTAGATAGCATTAAGCCCTCCCTTCAGATTCTACGTTCGTTATTCACGTGTTAAACATAAATGAGAAATGTTGGCTGATCAGTAATAGTGGGGCTCATACGGCACACATGTTGATTCTAGTACATGTAGTGACAAGGAGTAGTAGGTACTATGATAGTAGAAAGTCCTGCCTTCTGCTAAAATGTTTAGCAAATGGAAAATGTAGACAGGTCATTTCATTAAGCATGTACACCTGGATCAGCTGCACGGTATGTTCATCAGATCAAAAAACATCTCCGAGTCCTGATCCCCAGGGGCTCCTTCAGCCTTTTGAGGAACCTCTTTCTGACTGGGAATCACCGGCTTTGACTTTGGGCACTTAGCTAGCTGCAGGCCCACACAACCAGGATCCCCTTCCTGCAGCCTGGCCCTGGGAACTGTGGGCACGGAGTGGCGGGAAAAAGCCTGAATCTTGATGAACGATCACAGTACCTTCTGTTTGGAACCATAGTTCCTTTGTTGGAAAGAAGCTCGACTGCTCTCAGGAGTTTGGAACCCCCGACCAGACTTACAACCTCCAACTTGTCTCTGATGAGGCTCTTGGGAGCTGTCCAGAAAGGTGAGCTGGAGTCACGGACTGTTGGGTTGTGTTGCTGGTTCCAAGCATTTGGAGAAGTTTCTCTTACTTTAGCCATGGCTGTTACAGCAGGGCTAAGGGAAGGAGATAAGGAGACCAGTGCGTAGGCTTCCTTCTCTTCTCTTTGTCTGTTTTTGCCCTGGAATCTGACATAATCAAGAGCACCAAAGCCGGCAGAACAGCTGCCGCCATTTTGGAACAGAGTTCATTTCTGTCCTGTGCCCCCTCCCACCTACCCTCATCTCTCCCTTGCCCACCTTCATCGTCCCAGAGCCAGGAGAACTCTACACCTCGAGTTAACCAGTCTGTTTTAATCTCCCAACTCAAGATTGTGACTGAACTCTCCAAACAAGAATAACTAAATGTATTAAAATTGTGGTCTTCAGGATTTGAGCCTTTTCATCTGTTTAAGAAATACCTATGTGGTGCTATGTCTAGTCTGTGCATTACAAGCCCAGCACCCATGCTAACCGGGAGAACTTGCATAACTGGCAGGTCGCGGCCACTAGTTACAGCTCACCATAGCAACCAGACATGTTTCTTTTTAAACAGGCTGGATCAGGTGCAGCACCACGGTGAGAAGCGGAGTTGGGGGCATCACCATGCTCTTTACGGGGTACTTCGTCCTGTGGTGCAGCTGGAGTTTCAGGCATCTGAGTAAGCCTTTTTGATATTTTTAGCCAAAATCCCAGGTCACATCCCATTACAGGGACCTCCAGGGGACTCTTCGAATTGCTTTTTATAGGATAGTGTTGCATTATCTGACATGCCCTCATGAATGAGCCACTGCCTTTGGTTTTTTATTACAGATTATGGTTATAATGAACTTTATAAGATTTGACTAGAATTTACATAACTGCTCTTGTGCTCCACGTGAGGTTTTTCCTAGAGATCTGGTGGTCTTGTGCTTTCTCCTCTGAAAGTTGTTTGCCTGCCAGATCAGCACCCTTAATTCCTGCCTTAGAACTTCTTTTTAGCATTGAAACCAAACAGCTCTATACCCCAAGAGCGGAGGAGAAACCATACAGCTCTCACTCATGTGTCTGAGGGTCACAGAAATCTTAGTTAATGTGACTTTCACCACGTAAAACAAAAACATCTTTCCAGTTGGGAGTTTCAGCTTGCATCAGGTCTTACCAGGAGGAAAAATGTCTGAACTTCATTTCTCTTTTAGTCTAAGATGACTTTTCTCATTTTTTTAAAGTCTTGCTTTATAAAAATATATTTTTATAGTTAAAATGTTTAAAAGCCGTTGTATAGAGGAGAATATCAAAAAAGCCCAGTATTTTTCCACAGTTAAAAAAGCCCAGGGGTGCCTGGGTGGCTCAGTCCTCGGGCATTTGCCTTGGCTCAGGTCATGATCCCAGAGTCCTGGGATCGAGCCCCGCATCGGGCTCCCTGCTCTGTGGGAAGCCTGCTTCTCCCTCTCCCAGTCCCCCTGCTTGTGTTCCTGCTCTCGCTGTCTCTCTCTCTGTCAAATAAATAAATAAATGAAATCTTAAAAAAAAAAAAAAAAAACTCAAAAATTTAAAAAAAATTTAAAAAGCCCAGTCGCTTTCTGAAAACTTTTTGTGTAAAAGTACAGGACAACCATTAATACCAGTGTAATTCACAAATGGTTAAAAGGACTTCTAAAATACCAGGACTTGGGGTGGCTTGGTTGGTAGAGCATGTGACTCTTGATCCCAGGGTTGTGAGTTCAAGCCCCATATTGGGTGTGGAGCCTACTTAAATGAAAAAAAAAAAAAAAAGGACTTGACTCGAATTGGATTTTTTGACTGATTCAGTGTCTAGTAAGTGGGAGAGCAGGTCAAGTAGCAGAAATGGGACTTCGGTAAATTCCTACACATGGCTGGTGGGGAGCTGGTAGGTGGTGTGTGATCCACCTGTCCATGAGAAAGAGGAGTTCCTTTCTGATCAGCCTTGCATACATGGAGACTCCTAAAAACCTTGACTGCTTTCCCAGGGACAAGGCCTCCCCTTAAAGGCTTACCTGTCTGAAAGGGCTCAGTTGGTTGATACCTGAGGAGAAATTTCTGATTGCACCTAAGACTTTATTTCTGAATCTGTAAAACAAAGGGGAAACGGAATGATCTGCACAGGCAAGAGACAGAAACAGTCTTTAGGAGTGGCCTTGTGGATCCTTATATTTCTGTCTGTTTATCCAAAGAGCTGCAGCGTTGGCGTAAGTGATGACCTGGACACCGAGTACGGAAGCTTGGAGCCTCCAGGGAGCATATGCTGGGGACACCTGCAGTGCAGATTTAACAATTTAAAATGGTTTGGGGGAGAGGGAGTGAAAAGAATAAAATTATTGGAATCTAAAACAGTTACAGAGGAAGTCCGTTTTTTTAACATGGACAGGTCTGGTTCTGGGTGGACATTTCTTTGGCTGACTCTCAAGAGTGACAGTGATTGAATAGACTTCCGTTTGTTTGCTCATAAAGGCTGCTGGTTTTCAGGGAGGCATGAAGATGACAAAGGTCATCACTAAAATTTTTTAAATAATTGTCTGTTAGTTCTCAGTAAATAATACTCACTTTTAAATCTTTCTCCCTAAAATTATTCTCTAAGCTTTGGCATTTTATTATTCATCCATACAAGATACCAGGCTACATGCATACTGATCCAGAAGAGTATGTGTGAAGTGGCAGAAAATGAGCCTACATCAGGCCCTTTTTGGGTCCCTGACCAGATCTTGGCAGGCGTGAAAAACAAAAGCAAAGTAAGGTGGATCCAGAGTTGCAGGTGAGCCTATGAAAAGTCCTTAATATATTTTTAAGCTGATTAAAATGAAATCACACACTAAACAGAATTTTAAATCACTTTTTATTCATCTTGAGTATAATAGTGAACAAATGGTTTCTGCTTATGTCCTGGAAACTTCCAGAATCCCACCCCATCCCTTCCTAAGAATTTCTGTGAAATACTCTGACATTCTTTTTACTTTGTTAGGATTGTTTTTGGCTGGTTTGTTTTCCGTGTCTCTTCCCCCATCAAAATATTCAGTGTTTTCTTCTAATTTTATGGCTTCTGCTTTGGCCCCTAGACAGTAGCTCGATAGAAAAGATAGATAGTAACTGGATAGCACAGGTGGATAACTTTTGCTCCAGTCCCTTTTCCAACACAGGGGTTGATTATCTATCATAGATCTGTTTATATCTACCTGTTTGCTTTATATACACACATACACGTATTTTAGCTTTGCTTGTGATATCCTCGCCAAATGCATGAGATCAGTCCCTGTTTTGTCCCAGCTCCTTCAAAACCACAAACAAGCAGGTGTGCTGTTGTAAGGCAAGCATGTATTTATTTGTACATCTCTTCTGTCTGTCTTCTCAAAACTTGAATTTTGGCTCTATCTTCTGCCTTATCTACCTTTTCTATCCCAGCCCCCAGTCTGTCTCCCTCTCTAATTATCCCCAGTGGGAGTAATTTAATTCTGCATCAGTTGCTCATGGTTAAGGGAAAGGTTTACTAGAATTCTCCATAAGGAAAAATATACGGCTGAGGAAGAGTACTGCATTTGGTTATTTTAGTCTAATATTACTAAGAACTTCATTGAAATTCCAAAAACTGTAGCTTTCATTTTGAAAGGGCTTTGTGCCCATTCTTTGCAAATGCCCTTTAAAAGAGGCACTTAGGGAGGGATTCTCCCTGCACTTCCCCCTTGGTCCTTTGTCTAGGTCAGAAACCCTCTGGCTGCCAAGGTAGAGGACAATGCTGTCTATGATGGCCTCATTGATGGCCTCCTGCGCGCTTCCCCAAACCTCTCAAGTCCGGCTCAGCAGGCTACAGTGGCCCTCTGCACAGGCCAGCCCACTACCTGTTTTGTAAATAGTCTTCCCAGAGCACAGCCTGCTCCACACTTTGATCACTACTATAAATAAACTAGTGTCACTTGTCACTTGAATGCTAGAACAATGAAAAGGTTTCACTTAATTTATATATCACAATAAATGTTTTAAATTTATGTCATGATAAATATTTTACATCCCTGAAAATAAGTTCCTTAACGAGAGTGAACGACATAATAATGATCCCACCAGTCCCTAAAAGGAGAGCTGCTTCGTTTTGCCACGTTTAAGACAAAGGTAGGATCCAGCATTCAAAAGAGGATTTTTAATCTGACATGATCAATACCAAGAATCTTAACTCACAGGTAGCAGGAAAGAAGAAAAAGAAGAGTCTTAACTGAGGTCTTTGAATTTGATACTGAGCGTGGATTCTTAAAGGATCAGGGGACTTCGCAGAAGCCATGGGCAGTGTCTCCGGATTCTGGAGTTCCTTGGTAAAGGCCACCGCCAGACGGAGAGTTCCTGTCTGCTCAGTGCTGCCATCTGGGGTGGGAGTATGCTTGAAGACCTTTCATCAAGTCTTTTAAGGATTTCTTCATAATGATGTTCCAGATAGTCTTGAGTTGTTGAGGTCAGCTGACAACCGTGGATTCTTTTCTGGGATTCGGGTCCAGACAAACTCCGCATGATCAAGGGATACACTTCATAGCTCCCACTTGCAAGAGTAATGTAACTCTGGTTTATGAGGATACATTTATTACTTGTACATGCAAATATCGCTACAAGATAAGTTCATTTGCACAGCCACTCCCAGTCATGCATGTGATCTGGCGGATGCACGGCTTCATCCAGCAAGACTAGAGATTATTCTCCAAACTGGAAATGTAGACGAGTGAGCCTGAGCTGCTGAAGCCAGCACCCTGTAGACATGAGGCAGGAATAACTGCTCTTCTCTTCACAAAGCCGAGAAAAAGAACAGGAATGCTCGTAACTTGATGGGCCATGTTAAAAACAGCCTCCTTGATTTTGTCTCCCCAAACCATGCTCCGTACCTTCTGCAGTCCCAGCAGGAGCCCCTTGGGTGAGCAGCAGTGCTTAGGTTTTGCTTCCAGTTCAGCAGCATGAATTCACAAACACGTCTTCCAGCAGTGGGCAGAGAATCCAATCCATACAAACAGTCCCCATCCGCCTTCCTGTTCGTCCTGCAGCAGAGTTACTGTGACAGCCAGGCTCCTCTTCCACCTTTGAGGAGACTCGCAAGGAGGGTCCCGTTTTGGAAGGCTGAAAATCCTCGCAGGCAGGCCGAAATGCCCTGGCTGCACCCTTGTGGTCTGCAGGGTGGGTTAACCCCAGCATTAGCTCCTGGAGTTTAAGCCTGAGTGAGAATACCTGAAATCCTGAACGTAATGGGGAAAGTATTTTTGTCTAATACACATTAAAGTGTTTAGCTATTAAAGATAATCATTTGTTCTATTAGCAATAGGGTTTTATACTCCTTATGAGAAACTCTTATCTGCTGCCACTGTTCTTAGTCCTTGTTTGTCCTGATTTACAGATTATCTTAATTACCCTGTTCCCTGTGCTCCTCCACCATGGGATCACCACCACTCTTCAGAAGAACAACATTTATATATATATATACATATATATATATATATTTTAATTCCCCCTCTTACTATTTGCCTCTTCCAGCCCCTCACCTTTGAGTTGGGTGGGTGTGGCCCTGGGCAAGTTATCTAGCTTACTGGAGCCTCTCTGGTTGGTCTGAACTGTAAGGTGGGGACGATATACGTACTTTGCAGAGTTTCGGGGAGATGAGAAGTCCTGCATCAGTAAATTCCAGCAAAGGCTGACATGTAGCAGGAATTAAACTATAACACTTCTTCTGAAACCTCTGTGGTGTCATCCTGCGTTGAGATTCTAAACTTGAACCAAGCAGAAAGACCGCGCCACAATTCACACAAAAGTCCAGCTGCCGTTCGGGTGCCTGCTCCGTCAAAGCCGAGTGCCGTGCCGAGTTCTTTACCTGCGTGCTCTCGTTCTGTCCTTCGGGCCACCCTGTGAGGTGGGTTCTCGCTCATTTTTCACCACGAGGAAGCGAAGGCTTGACATGAAGCGGTTTGCCTCCAAGTCTGCGTGGTGGGTCTCAGCAGCCCCGGGTGCCACTGCCGTGCTGTGGGCCTGCCCTGGCCCCTTACCCTCCAGCTCCGGGTGGGCCAGGCAGCTGACTCCATCCGCCGAAGGGCGTAGGGAGGCTGGTCCTACCACACACCTGTTTTCCCCATTTCCCCGAAAGGCTTGGCTTAGCCTCCCCGCTCCTCTCCCCACGGACTGCCTCGCGGTGGCCTTCGGCTGAGGCATCAGCATAGGTCGTATGGCATTAAATGGGCCGTGTCGCTCCCTCGCCTCCCCAAGGTAAGCCCTGTTTGTAGCACCTCCCTCCCCGTAATTCCTCACGTGAGGCACGAGCCAGACAGGGAAGCGGCTGCGGTGCTAAGGAGACCCGTTGGATTTAATCAGTTGAGAGCAGCCGGTGAGGCCATCCACACAGAACTGCCGCGTGCAGCTCGACCTTGGCGGCGGCCGTGCACAGCACGACACCTGTACTTCCCACAAACCTGACCTTCGGGTGCACGTACGTTCTCCCCCATGTTACGGATACCACGTCCTACCACAGTCCATCTGCCTCCAGTCCTGTTGTGTTTTTAGCAGCTCGCTCACTCACAGGATTAGAGGAAATAAGCCTGCGTGTGGCGGGCTGCTAATTCTGCATCCCCTGCCCCGTGGAGGCCGACGCGAGGGCTCACTGGGCCGTGGGACCCAGAGGACCCCACAGAAAGGCCATTGGGTGTCTTCGCTAGAAGGTCTTCGGTCAGCCCACAGAGCAGGGGTTCCTTTTTGATAACTCCTACCTGTTGGGGTCTTACTGCACTGGCTGGCATAATGGCCCACGCTTTGACACTAAAAGGAAAAGATGAGTGGTGTGACTTTTTGTAAACTTAAATCCCAAGAGAAATACCCTAACCTGTCTAGGGAACCTTGAGAGCTAGTTAGCTGTCATTCTAAGGAGTCTGGTGGATGCTCTCTTAAATGAAGCTCCATCTCAGGCCTGAAAGACCTTGAGATTCAAGCCAGGATCTCTGTCCCAGAGAACAGGCCTGCAGATGTTCAGAGGCCCCAGGATCAAATGTATGAGAAAAGCAGGAGCTCTGCACCCTTCCCTGTCCTGATGGAGCTTTCTCTAACAGTATAGAGGAGTCAGAAGCACAGGACAGTGTAGACGTTATCTCGTGAAGTTACGTTTTTCTTCCTGATAAGCCAGAAAATAGCAAAAACACAACAAAACCAGAAAAACAAGGTTCTGTGTCCCTTCCTTACCAAATCCTGCCCCCTTAATCTTCAGGACATTATGTATGAACTCAGAATTCGTAGGCAGCAAAGGAGGAGGGGAAAGCTGTTTAACCTACTAGCTTTTAAAGAAAGTCTTGTCTAGCCAGAGATGTACATCAGTTGAGGTCGTGGAGACTTAGCAGAAA